AATGGGATACTTTAACCCAAGTATACAGTCACTCCTACAGCTGCCAGTTTTGAAGAACCAGGCCTGATGGCTCTGAAGCAAATTCAGGCAGCAACAGAAGCAACACTCCATCTGGTACTTTTGGTCCAGCAGATCCAGTAGCTGTGAGTGTTTGTGGCAAACAGAGATGTTCACTGGCAATTTTAGCAAACATGAGTGAGAGAATCAAAGACAGGATATATAGGGTTTGAAGGAAAACAATTTTTATTTATTTTGGGGGGCGGGAATACAGGGTTTCTCTGTAGCTTTGGAGTCTGTTCTGGAACTCTCTTTGTAGACCAGGCTGGCCTTGAACTCACAGAGATTCACCTGTCTCTGCCTCCCAAGTGCTGTGATTAAAGGTGTGCACCACTTGTGCGGGAGAATTGTCTGTATTCTGTCAACCATGTTTTAAATAAATGCTGATTGGCCAGGCAGGAAGTATAGGTGGGACAACCAGACAGGAAGTAAAGGTGGGGCAATGAGAACAGGAGAATGCTGGGAAGGAGGAAGCCCATTCCTCCCCAGTCCTGCCCAGATCACTGAAGAAGAAGCAGGATGTGACCTGCCTCGCTGAAAAAGGTACTGAGCCATGTGGCTAACATAGATAAGAATAATGGGCTATATAAGTTATAAGAGCTAATACGAAGCCTGTGCTAATGGGCCAATCAGTTTTATCATTAATATAGATTTCTGTGTACTTTCTTTGGGACCTAATGGCTGTGGGAACTGGGTAGCACAGAAACCCCAAACAAAGCAGGCCCCTCATGTTACATACCACTACCGCCCGGCTTGAAGACGGCTATTTTCTAAAGGAGTGTCTGGCTTACTATAGTCAGGTGACCCAAGTGGGATGAGTTTCCCACTACGGCGTCAGTGTGGACGTCTCTCGGGCCAGCTGTCTGTGGGAAAGCAATCACAGAAAGGTTAAGAGACGGAGCACGGGAGCTGCTGGGGCAGAGCACGAACATCATTTTGCCCACAGATCTCCGGAGAAACCAGGAACGTTAAGCAGCAGGATTTCTTTTTAATGGGAAAGACGAAAAACCTGTTCTCCCATCCAGAAAGAATTAAAAGTGATGAATGGCCTGGTGATCTGTGACATCTGCTGGGCCAGGTCAGAACAAGCGCTCACAGCCAGGACTGGAGGTGGCTAACCGCCCAAATCACCTCTGTGCTATCTATACGATGGAGACCAGGACAGACCTTTAGGTCCTTAAGCTAGTACTGGTAGCCCATCTCTAGAATACACTTTCTTGGAGGTGACATGTACCCTGTGTTGAGTTTCAATGTCATTATGCTTCTTTGTACACCGGGAAACTTTTCAAAGTGTACTGGGCTTAGATACTTTAGGAAAAAAAAAAAAAACACCTGTCATTGGACTCCCCGAAGTCTGGTCCAGGTTGACAAAGTCAATCTGCACTGGGTTTTCATTCTTATCTCTTGCGGGGTTCGCTTCCCTTATGACACCTGCAGGGACCCCCCACAGGAAGTCCAGAGGCACAAATAAGATGCATGAGCAGGTGGCTCAGAGGGCTTGGAGACAAACCCTGCGGTGCTGTCCCCAGAGTCCATGCTGTGACAAACCCTGCGTGCTGTCCCCAGAGTCCATGCTGTGACAAACCCTGCGTGCTGTCCCCAGAGTCCATGCTGTGACAAACCCTGCTGTGCTGTCCCCAGAGTCCATGCTATGGTCTCCTCCTGCTGTGCTGTCCCCACAGTTTATGCTATGGACTTCTGGAATGTTCACTTAACAAGTGATAGAAAAAAAAAAACAAATGAACCTGGTTAACAGGTAAGCCTGCATATTGACCCACAGCAGATATGCTGATAAGAACCCTGAAAGGTGGGTGGAGGCAAAGGCCTCCTACTGTGCGCAGCCTGAAGCAGCGGCCTCAAGCTCCAGGTGAAGGATGGTCAGAAGCATGGAGCTGTATCACTTCCAGACAGCTGATAAAGGACGCAAGCAGGGAAGGTTGTCCCACGGACACGTGGATGGATCTCTGTGAAGACGTTTGTGTCTCTTGCCAGAGCCTGCCCATGTGCATCCTCTTAGGAATAAGGACAAGCACACTGTGGGTAGGGCCAGCTTTCCTCGGCCACTACAGTGATTTTGGAGAAAAGTCATTACACTGAGGTCCCCAGGTGGATAATCTTCATAAACGTCTTAAGAATATTCAGAGACGTTTGAACTCACCATGGCATTCAGTTGGAAAGCGACGGGATTTAGTGTCAACATCGGATTCTTTATTACCTAGAAAGTTTAAGCTACAGTAATTGAAGAGCCAAATGGACACATTTTTAAATAAATTTATTGCTCGCTTAGATGAGAACTGCACGGGAACATGTTAAGAATCCCGTGTAATTGTGACTTAGAATACGGGTTGTTTTTTGAATTTCGTATTATGATCTTGATGCTGACTCCATTTTGGACAGTGATTTTTGTCCAATCAGGATTTTACATTGGATTTCCTGAGAACTGAGTTACATTCACTGTCATGACTGAAGCAGAAGGAAGAGAATCTTTGCTAGGACACTAAGAATAACATTTTTTTCAGCCACTTTAACGGGACTGTTTTACCTGCCATTCATGACTATAAATACTGATGTGCACGCAGATATCATGACTATATCGATGTGCATGTAGATATCATGACTATAATATTGATGTGCACACAGATATGACTCTAATCATTGATGTGCATGCAGATATCATGACTATAATCCTGTATGTGCACGCAGATATTATGACTATAAACATCGATGTCCACACAGATATCATGACTCTAATCATCAATGTGCATGCAGACAGGCTCTGCAGATCAGGGCCCAGCTCCAACTCACGGAAGGCTGGTGCACCTAAGCCACACAGCTGAGTGCAGGGAGACCGTAGGTTCCCATAAGAAATTCTGGTTGCTGCAAGCAGGAAGGGAAATGGAAGCTAATAATAGGTGTGCATTCATTACAGGCACCCACCATCTGCTTTCTGTTTAATCCCTCAGAAATATAAGACTTGAAGTAACCCAAGACCTTGCCTAGTTCCTACATGTTACCTAATGCTTTCAGAACACAGCACAAAGGTCAAGCAAATCATTTACTTCCATGCCATTTTGTAAGTGCTTGACTTTGCTGACAAAGTGAATAAATATTTTTATCTTCAGGATTTTATTTTCCATTTAAAATAGAAATATTCAGCCAGATAGTGATGGCACATGCATATAATCCCAGCACTTGGGAGGCAGAGGCAGATGTATCTCAGTGGGTTCGAGGCCAGCCTGGTCTAGAATGAGTTCCAGGACAGCCAGGACTGTTACACAGAGAAACCCTGTGTAACCTCTTGAAAAACCAAGAGAGAGAATAGAAATATTGAGAGAGAGAGAGAGAGAGAGAGAGAGAGAGAGAGAGAGAGAGAGGGGGGGAGAGGAGAGGAGAGGAGAGGAGAGGAGAGGAGAGGAGAGGAGAGGAGAGGAGAGGAGAGAGGGGAGAGGGGAGAGGAGAGAGAGGAGAGAGAAGAGGAGAGAGAGAACCCAAGAAAAACTGACGACTCTTGAGCTCATACTCTTTGGTTGGCATTTTTTGATATGGTGGAAACAAAGGTACAAAACTGAAATGATCAGGTCCTGAAAGTATATTCTCAAGTAGAATAGCCTTTCACAAGGCAAGGCAGCCATCAATGGGTCCCATTCTCTGGTACACACATCTCAACTACTGGCTTGTGGGTTAAGCTGTGCCTTTATCTTGAAAAGCCCCCCCCCCCCCCCCCGCATCAAGCTCTGGTTTTCCCTTTGCCAACCTCCCCAACATTCACCTTCTCCTAGTCTGTTATGTTTCAAACTATAGTTCTTTACCTTTACCTGCTGAACTCCAAGAAAGAGCTGCACTCCCTCAGCTGCCTGCAATGTATCTTCAGGGTCTATAATCCTATAATACAGAGTTATCAGTGGCATCAACTTTCATCCTGCTGAACTATGTTCAGGGTTAAGGACACTCTGGGCTGGCTGGACACCCTGTGGTCCAAGCCACCCCTCATATGCTCTGTAGTGGCAGGTTAAGGTTGTATTATCTATTCCTCGCTCTGTAGATCAGGTTAGCCTCAAACTCAGATTTCTGGGTGCTGGGACTGAAGGTGTGTGTGAGCACTCTCCCTCCTCCAGGTCACTAAGTGCCTCCCCCGTGGGAATCACAGGGCTGATCTAACACCACTTTACAGGTAAAGGCACTTTCAAGGAGAAAGGAGAAACAGAGAACCAGAAAGGCAAAACTGGAAGCCTGTCTGGCTCTCCAGCTGTGCAATGGTGTCTACTTCAATTTGTTCCCCTCTAGTCGACTCAGTTCCTGCTCCAGGGCCTCCTGTTCCTCACACTCCTTCCTGTGATGGCAACGTCACTCTGTTGAGTTTGTTTTAAAGCATTCCTTGCCCACATGAATCCAACTGCCTTGCTTACTGTGTCATCAGTACCCAGTACTCCTGACAGAGGTACCTCCATGTTGCTGCTGAATGACTAGCTCTTACAGAGCCCTGTATTAGCCTACCTGCTGCCAATCATTTATTACGCAAGCTTACGTGCTCTCAGAGGACAAGAACTGTCTTGAAAACCAAAAACAAACAAACAAAAACAAAATTCTAGCTTCCTTAGTTGGGAGATTTGAATTTAAAATTATATTTTTCACCGTTTAAATATTCCTGTAGGCTATAGTTCTTTGTAAAATATTAAACTTGGTGTATTTTATTCTTTAAACAAGAATGTGAGCTATCCAAAGGAAGTGTACATATGGTTAGGACTGTGTATAAAACAGTAATTTTGAAATTTCCAAGAATTCTTGGGAATACTGATTCATTCATTGTCCCTGAATCTCTCAAAGTGTTACATGCCAGGAATTTAGAAAACCTGCTTCCTGTTAAAGTGTGTCACAATTTAAAAAGGCACCATTGCTGCTGAATAAACACAGTAAAAAAGCTAAAAATATTATAGTAAACACAATTATTTGTAAATATAAATTATCTTTTCATTTTTATTTTAAAAACAATGCCATTTCCAAATACAAAAATAGGCTTATTTTTAAAGAATCCTTTAAATATAGCTTTGATCATAATGTTTTATTTACCAAGAAAATAGATGTTAATACACTGACAGTTGTTTATGAGAAAAATTAGTATTATTTCAGCATCCTCTTGGGGTAGGCCTTTACACCTGGAGATCTATGACGACACAGAAATCAAATCAATAATGGCCATGAACGTAATTTGTACTTCAATCTGAATCTGAGCAACCAATGTAGAGAGATCATTTATTTGGGATATGGATCCCTAAGTCTAAAAGCTGAGGACAAAAGGAATGCTTGCATCTACTCAGTTCCCACAAACTCACAGCAACCGCCCCTCTGAGATGACCCAGCATTTCTGATGAGTGGTTTGTGACCACACACGCTACACAGAGGTTTCACCGGATCCGAGTCCAGACTCTTTACACTCTGACCACATATTGTTTATGGACAAAAACCAAGGCTGGGATCCAGAATCACATTATAAATAATTAACAATGGGGCAGCAAAAGGTGCGAGATACTTCTCAGAACAAAACACCTCCATTCAAAATGGGCTGGGTTTGGGTAAGTCCCTTGAAATACAGTCTCGTAAGAGGCCAGCTCCTTGCTATTGCACATGGGTCAGTTTTAAAGCCAATCCAGGCGAGAGTTCAGAAACATCAACATTCATCCAATTATTTACAAAAGTCGCGGAACAGCTTGCACGCGAACAAGGAAAGGGAGGGTCTGGCGCATTCTCACAGGCTCAAGGCGGCCACTGTGGGCAGAGGCAGCCAAGCTCCCACATTGGGAGGAGCACAGAGCAGAAAACATGGAGATTTTCAGGCCTCTGACTTCCCGTACAGACAGATGCTGAGTATGAGCTGAGCTGCTGCGATACTCTGAGGTTTGTGTTTGCTGCAGCCTCAAGCAGGTTTACTGGATCTTCTTTTAGCTTACTTTCTTTTCTCTAAGATCACACAAAAGGTGTGAGACATTTTCATAAACCACAAAGGTGATACAGCAGGCTGGAGTCACTCGAATCAAATTGGGGGCAATGCCTTTGTAAAATCCTCTGATGCCTTCTTTCCTAAAGGAGGAAGAGACACAAGCCAGCAACACGTCATTAACACGGGCACACAAAGAGCAGACAAGCCTCACCTACTCGGAGTGGGTGTGGACAAGCCATGCACACAATGCCCTGAGGGAATATGGTTCACGTGTCATTCACATAACTTCTAAACTGATGGAGGAAGAGGGGAAGGACGCCTCAGAGAACGGACGGTGCTGTCTGTCTGGTGAGTCACTCACATGGTTTACAAGATGCGGTGCAAAGGTTTGGCAGGTCTAAGGCAGGCCCTTGACTGCTTCCCATGGCAGTCAGGAGTGGTGGTTCGGGCCTATAATCCTAGTACCCGGGAGGGAGGCTGAGGCAGGAGACTGATAAGTCTGAAGTCTCGGAAGCTGGCCTCGACTAGACAGTGTGTCTCCCATCTCTAACTGATCTCAGTGACACAACATCAGAGCAAGGCCTCGTAACGTGCAGGTATCAGACAGTGTGTCTCAACGTGAACTCAGTGCAAAGGCAGTTTCTTCAGGTCTTTTGTGATTAAAGGGAAATGCAAGGAAAGTTGGCCTGTAATCATTTAATTATTTTCATGCATTATCTCTTCTACTTACAGGGACAAGTACTGGTAAAAGTTAAAGGGCCAGCAGCAGATATAGGCCTTGTCAAACAAATTTAACTAGCTTTCTGACTTTTTATATCCAATGTCAATCAAGTATTTTGTGACTTAAATTCTGCTGATAAGTTTTAAAAGCACTGACATCTGTTTCATTGTTTTTATAACAACTCTGTGAGCCCAAGCAGTTTCATTTAACAAACAGAGAAAGGCGTGAGTGACACAGTGTATAGTGATTTACAGAAAATGGGAGTGTAGGCACAGCCAACCGTGTCTTTTCCACAGCAAACTGGACAGTCCTAAAAATCTTGAATACAGTGCAAAGTCTAGGCACGCTCTGACCTCATCTCTACGTACGGAGTGGACAGACTAGGCATGCTCTGACCTCATCTCTACGTACGGAGTGGACAGTCTAGGCACGCTCTCGCCCCATCTCTATGAACAGACTGGACAGTCTAGGCATGCTCTCACCTCCACGTCTTTATGATCACATCCATCACACCACCGTAGGACACATGCTGGTCCTGGAGACGGGCCCGCACAACTTGATATGGGTACGTTGCTGCTACAGCAAAGATTTTGGACAGTGCAGCAATGGAGATATATTCTGCTGTGCTCTAAAGTGAGAACACAAATAGGTTTTCTTTACAAGCAAAATCACACACAAAAACCCGTTTAAATAAATTAAAAAAAATACTGTTCCCTCTAACACAAGGTCCATTTAATATTGGGTTCTAGTAAACATTTGTACCATTAGCTTATAAAATATTTAGCTGTTAGATAAATTAGTGACCGAGTATTTATTATGATAGCAATAGTGCCAAAGCAAGCACACTTAGAAATCTTCTACCTACTTAGTGCCCAGGAAAGAGAAGGATGCCCCTACCAGCTGGGCTTCGGGCAGTCTGTTGGTGTGTTTGTTGTGCTTCAACTTCAGCCACTCATAGGCCATAAACTGAAGGGCGCCGTGAGATGTTCCAAACAGCCCGGGGACAAATCCCTAAAGGGAAGGATAAAGAAGAAAAAATCAAACAGCTTTCAATGAAAGATATACTTAAAGTATTTTCATATTATTTTATGCAAATTCACCTATGCTTTACATAAATGGCATTTTAATATATGGTATTAAGAGTAATACTGTAGGGCTGGAGAGATGACTCAGTTGTTGAGAGCACTGACTGCTCTTCTAGGGGACCTGGGTTCAATTCCCAGCATCCACATGGCAGCTCACAGTGTTTGTAACTCCATTCTAGGGGACCCGGCACACTCACACACATATACATGCAGGCAAAACACAAATTCACACAGGAAAAAAACCCAGATGATTAAAAAAAAAAAAGACCAGTTCTGCCTTCTCCTTTTCTCATGGGCTGTTTTTCTGGAGGACTATACTTACAAACATGAAAAAGATCCACAGGATCAAGAATTGGAGTTTCAATAGGGGTTAAATTTAGCAAAAGACAAATTAAATAAAACTAATATTTCAAAGGACTGCACATTGATCTTCTAGGAGAAAAGGATAAGAAGTGAAGAAAGAAAATACAGACCCGAATAACACAATTCCAAACAAAATCGCCTAGAGATCAGTAAGCAATCCATAACCTCACGTTAAGACCAAGTGATTTAAAGCTATTACATAATTCCTAAAAAATAAAGTAAAACTGAAGACTTTTACTTCAGTCTAAGGGCTGTGGCGGTTAATCTTCGCTGTTCGCATGACTGGGGGGAGGCAGGGTGTGTGTGCAGTGAAGGTGTGCACACACCGGAGCTGGAGACCTGGAACTAGTGTAGGCGGAAAAGGAGAACCCAGTGGAGCACCAGCGTGTCCTCTCTGCTCTACCCGCCACCACCATCACGGACACACCTGAAACTGCAAGCCCTGCAAGCTCCCCCCTCTGTAATGGCTTCTCTCACACACTGTGCCCACAGTGAGACAAAAGGAGCTGCCATGAAGAGAAATTAAGGCAAGAGAAGGAAGGTACAAAATTGGAAACAGATTTTGTTGCAACTAAAAAGAAATTTGGAATATACTACATTCACTGGGCGGTGAGAGACAGGCGGATCTCTGTGAGTTCAAGAGCAAGTTCCAGGACAGCTGGGGCTACACAGAGAAACCTTGTCTCCAAAAACCAAAACAAAAAATATATCTACTACATTCAGACTGGGCGGGGGGGGGGGCAGGCAAGGGGATGAATTTTTCTTTTGGTTGTTAAAGTCATGCTATATTTCCAGTAAGTAAAAATAAGATCCATTAAGACTCACTGATCTCTTCTCCACAAACTGTTAGACAGCATCCCAGGGCTACAGCAAGAAAGGTGATCTCACTAAAAGGACACCTGACCAAGTTTTAGACCATTCCCACATCAAAGTCATAAAGTCAGAGGATGCATAGCTTAAGGTACAATTTCAATACCATAAACAAAATTTCCACTTCACTCAATTATTTCTTGCAAAAATTTGGATTCTTTTTAGGACCAAATATAGGGCATTCAGAAAAGAAAAAGAGTTGATGTATAGAACAATAAAAAGAAGCCGGTATGGTGACCCCTGTCTATAATCTCCGTATTCTATAGTCTTAGATAGGAAGGTTGAGAGCTGAAGGCCAGACTGGGCTATATGGCAAGACTTTGTCTCAAAAACAAAACAAAAAGAAAACAAAGCCAGTATTAATTGCAATTTCCAGTTACTCAATGTACATTCATGATAATTTGTTACCTTGTACAATCCACGCACACCTTCATATTTATATATTTTCACGAGTGCATCAAACATCCCTGTATACTGTCTCTGTGAGGGGTTAACAACACCACCGTACTGTAACATGAGGCGAGTTTTCGTCACCCATAATGGGTTTGTGATGCAGAGAGTCATGGCTCCTAAAATAATATTGAAAGATTAATTACCATATAGGTACCGTTTCACTTAATCCAAACTAAGAATAGTTCATTAGAAAATAACATTCTTCTCAACAGTGTGCACATAACATAAAGAAGTCCCAGCTGATCAAGAACTGAGATAAAGCTAGGTGTGGTGGCACACACACCTTTAATTCCAGAATTCAGGAGGCAGAGGCAGGCAGATCTCTGAGTTAGAAGGACAGCCTAGTTTAAATGGTGAGTTCCAGGACAGCCAGGCTACATAGTGAATCCTTGTCTTAAAAACAAAAATAAAACAAAACAACAACAAAACCACTGGGATATAAGTAGGTCATTAAATTTAATTAAGAAAATGAGGGCAATGAAATTCCAATCAATTGAGCATGTTCTCAGAGAACAAGACATGAAATCTTATTTCTGCATCTGGGAGAGTGGTGGTCTCTGAGACACCACCCAAGAGTCCAAAGGAAAACTTCGCTTTTGGTGGTCAAAAAAGTTCCTCCTGTGGTCAGTGAGAGGTAGATTAAAAGACAAAATGTTATACAGTTTCCCTGTAAGGAAAGGGCAAAGTTATCCAGACTCCTAAACAATGGAGCCTAGGGTAGAGACTAGACCTTTAGAGATGAACATAAAAGGGAGGAGCTGTGGTTTAGGAAGGTGGCTCCACAAGCTGCACAGGCACGGGCAAGTCCCAAGATCACCACAATCTTCTTCAAACCCTTTCAAAGGTCCTCACTGTGTCCCTCCCCTCATTACAGTCTGATAAGGCACATTTTATAAACTTTTCAGAAGTGATCACTTTGCTAAACATTTCATCTGGTGACAGGCATGGTGGCACTCTGGCAGCTGGGGGGTGGAGTCAGGAAGATCATTTCAAGGTCAGCTTGGGCATTTGTTATATGAGTCTATCAAAAGAAAACAAAACAAAAACCTCCTGCCCTGCTAAAAAGTACATCTGGTTAAATTTGTTTGTTAAGTGTCCCAAGAACATTTTTTTTTTTTTTGGTAAAAAAATACCAAATTCTATCATGACACAAGTCACTGAATGTGGCTAAGTATTCAAATGCAGATGGTTCTTGCTTTTTTAAAAAAAAAAATACTCAGTAGGCATGAAGAAACCAAGGTATGCAAAGGATGAAATTGGCTTTTTGAACACTCTGTCTGTCTGTCCTTGATGGCCCACACACAGCAGTGAGAGAATAAAGCTCCTAGGTTACATCATTTGAAAACACTATATCCAAATCATCTCTTGAGAATAATTTTCAAAAAATTTTATGTATACAGGTGTCATTCTTGCACGTATATATGTGCACCGTGTGTGTCTAGCACTCTCAAAGGTCAGAAGATGGTGTTGAAGCCCTGGAACTGCAATTACAGATGGCTCAGCCACCGTGTGGGTGCTGGAAATCTACTCTTGGTCCTGTGAAGAGCAGCCAATGCTCGTCAGGTGTTAAGCCACCTCTCTGGCCCCACCCAAACCATGTTTGTCTGGGGAACTCCTAACTTTCTAAGATTAGATAAACACATTTAAGCCTCTAATGTTTAGTGGGGAAGGCTTAAAAAAATCAAGCCTGGAGCAAAAGGTCACTAGCCCAACCTGGGCCACAGAGAGAGCTCTTCAGACAGTACACTCAAACTCCCCGCCCCCAACTAAGGAATTAAGTTTGGAAGATGATGTCATCCATTGCCTTACCAGCTTCAGCAGCAGAGATGAGGTATTCTACTGGTGTCAGCTGTTCAGCTCTTCCCTCCGTCTTATATGATTTGATGGCATTGTAACTAACAAGAGTAAACACAAGCAGTTTAATCTGAAGACGAGTCATAAAGCAAACGTCCATTTTAAAGCCTGACCTCCAAAAAAAAAAGGTCAACACATAATGCAACCACAAATGAAGACCTTATTTCAGGATAGATATGTCAGAAATGGCTCATAGTAGAGTATAATACCCTGCCATAAACAAATACACCTAGCAATAAATATATTTATGTATATATGTATATATATATGTGTGTGTATAAATATATATACATTACACATTTGAGCGGTACAGAGTAAATGCCTTCTTGCACAAGAGCTGCCTCTCCAGAGCAATACAAGAGTGGCTGAGAAACAGGGGCCAGGCCAGATGCTCACAGCAGCACACGCTCCTCAGCGAGGTCATGATGCTTTGTGATCATGCTCCTTTACACTCAGTGCGGTGGCTGGACCTGCGCAATGGGAACTATCCCAAACAGTGGCAGAAGCTGACAGGTACATGAGCTATGAAGACTACAGGCAGGTCAGGATATCTCAAAGGAATCTGGCCATTGAGTCACCGTCCCACCAGGGATCTCTGTGACCCGTGTTACAGGTCCTCCCAGGCCTATTCCTCCTGCTTTATACTTACCTGGGTGCCACATCACTTCCCTATGCCATCTCAAACACTGTGGGGTCCTCGCTGAGGATAAATATGCAACCATGTCATGGTACTTCAGTCCTTGGGGAACATTCTGGAACTGATCTCTTACACATGAAGAAAATAGTTTACTTAAAGGACTGAATTTAAGGACCAGAGTATTGTATGCTCCCAGCACCACACAACTCCCGAAGAAGCTGTACAGTGTCAATGTAAATTACAGAGTTAGCAGGCTTCCCAGTGGCTTTAACGAAACAAAAGGCTCTTTAATGCCCACTTCAACTTTCCTGAATACATTTCAAAGCAATGCTTTCTTTTTGCTTTTTCCCTCCCTCCCTCCCTCCCTCCCTCCCTCCCTCCCTCCCTCCCTCCCTCCCTCCCTCTTTTCTTTCTTTTACAGGGTTTCTCTGCATAGCCCTGGCTGTCCTGGAACTTGCTTTGTAGACCAGGCTGGCCTGGACCTCAGAGATCCGCCTGCCTCTGCCTCCCGAGTGCTGGGACTAAAGGTGTGCGCCACCACTGGCCCAAAGCAAGAGCTTCTGTGAGGATGTTTTCCCAACTCACCCTGGCACCATCTTCCTGTCAGCAGCCCTGCCCCAGGTTAAATGTCTCGGATAACAGCTGGCAGGAAGGAAATAACAGCAAATACTTTGCCTTCCAACCCTTTCAAATTAAAAGATTAAATGACTCATCAGCCACACATGTGAAAAATGGTAACAAGCAGAAAACATTAAAGCAGAGATTCCTTTTAATGTAAAAGTCCTCCCCCCCCCCCATCTACTCACAAGAAGAAGTAGAGTCCCCAGGATAGACCTGCACCCCACACATTGGGGGTGGCTCCTTGGTAAAGTCCGCGCAGTCCTTCTGCTTTCCAAATGGTAGTCAAGCAATGAAAAATCCCTTTATATTTTGGTCTGACTTCCAGGCCGTCGCTCACTGCAGGGAAGAATACACAGGTGAGAAGAGGTGCTGGCCCTGTGGATCATAGACAGCACATGATCAGATCTGAGAAGGAAATAGGTTCACGGGAACAATCTCAGGCAGAGGAAATTTTTTCTGGGATAGTTAGTATTTTAAATTAGTACATCTATCAGCTTACCAAAGTAAACTTCCAGATCCAGCCAGAGCATACTGAAGCCGCTAGGATTTCAGGAAGTAGCCTTTAGATAACCCCAAAAAACTTGTATGTTTGTCACAGATACTCAAGATTATGAACTCAAATGTTTGCAAATATTACTCAGGGGATAGAGAGATTGCTCAGTGGTTTGGAGTACTTGTTGTTCTTGTAGAGGACCTGGGTGTGATTCTCAGCACCCAATGGTAGCTCACAACCACCTCTAACTCAGTTCCAGGGGAGATGACAGTCTCTTGTGAACTCTGTGGGCACCAGGCACTCAAACGGTACATACACATAAAATAAAAATACTACTAAACAAATCAAACTAGTCAGCAGATTCAATCCTATCAAGAAAGCCAGCAAGATCTGAGGGGAGCAGGGAAGGGGTCCGGAGACAGGACAGCCTACGGCTGGAGTTCCCTCTTTACCACCACATATACAGTCAGAACAGAAAAGACCAAAGTATTTCCCTTGAACGTTGTTTTCTAAAACTGAACTAGTTTCCTCATCCTTTCCCAGACTGTTCTTATCCTGGGTCCCCGCAGCTCTGCTCGCTACAGTCCTCTTGGGGACCAGTCACCACCCCTCTTGTTTCCTTTTAATTAAACAATCTTAAAAAAAAAACTGAAAGGCCCTTTTTTCTTTCTATTCTACATAAAACTCTCCCAGACCTGCCCACATCTCAGAAAATGCCACCGTCTGGCTTTAAGCAGCAGTAGTATTTAAGTGTAGAGCGCCACTATGCCTGGCTAAATTTGGCATTAATGTTTATTCTGCTTCTGTAGGAAATGAAAAATACATTAAATAGGATAGTTGAGGGGGGGGATGAGGGATGCTTAACAGGACTGTGTGCAAGCTGTAGGAAAACAATATGGAACAATGCAGTATACAATTGTTTTAAGAAGTCGCTTAATGCTGGGTGGTGATGGCGCACGCTTTTAATCCCAGCACTCGGGAGGCAGAGATGGATCTCTGTGAGTTCGAGGCCAGCCTGGTCTACAAGAGCTAGTTCTGGGACAGGCACCAAAGCTACAGAGAAACCCTGTCTTGAAAAACCAAAAAAAAAAAAAAAAAAANAGAGAAACCCTGTCTTGAAAAACCAAAAAAAAAAAAAAAGTCGCTTAATCCTGGAAGTAGGATATTAAGTATTTTCAATAACAGAGAACATTCCACATCATGCAAATGATACCAAATTTTAAAACCACGTTCCATATTATAAAAATCTAGAATACAAGTAACAATTTTATTTTATGGAGTTTTGCAAGGTCCTTTGTTCTCCAGAGTACAAGTATTTCCCCTTGCTATCAGATTTCCCCAAATAAGAGATTGGTAAAACGTGACTGCTGTCCATCTCACGGCCGTTCTACCCTTTCTGCACCTGCTCTCCTCTCTGATGTGTGCATCCTTTCTCATCGTTCACATCAATGCTTTAGGTTTAGCATGTAGAGAACGGGCTTCATCCCAGCAGTTTTACATGTATGTCATCATACTGCTTCTATGCCATCCTTCTCTCTCACCTCTTTCATGTGCCCACCCTGTTCCTTCTGCTGAGCTGCTCATCCGAGACAGGGTTTCTCTGTGTAGTCCTGGAACTGGCCCTGCAGATCAGGCTGGCCTCGAACTCAGAGATCTGCCTGCCTCTCAATCTCAAGGCTGAGATTCTCTGGATTCTCTAAAGGATATTCTGTAAAGCAATTTGTATGGATTCTTATTACTTCTTTATCATCGGCCATTAGAAGGGGAACTCATAAGGGTCAAAGTGTGTAAATGTAAATTTAAAAATACACAGCAAAAGTACCTTTCAAAAAGCTCACACTAACTATTGCCTTTTACATGTAAGCATGCCCAATTTTGCTGTCTCTCACCTGCTGGGACAGGGCCTGGCAAGGAAGAACCATTACTGTTTACGAGAGCCAAGCAAAGGCGAAGAGTCAGGTTCTTTCACCACTAACCTGCCAATGTCACACTGAGTTGAGAGTAAAGCGCACCGGGCTATGTATGAACCTGGGTGGGTATCCAGTTTCCTTTGTTAGCTACATGGTCACACCCACTCTGGGCTTCAGCGCTCTCCTTTTTAAAGAGGGCATAATATCATCTATTTTGTTTACTTTTTTTTAATTAGGAAAGGAAACGAGAAAGCAATAGTGTTTCTCCAAACAAGTATGTGATTATTTTACACATAATTGGACACAGATTTGAGAAAGATAATGCCTTGAGATCATAGCCCAAACTTTTTAAAAATTAATCTATTTATTTATTTACTTATTTATTTTGTAGTTAGGTGAGCTGCAACAAAACACCGCTAGCAGACAGAACAGCAAGCATCACAGAGCTTGTTCCCTTGGGGGCCTGGGGGCTGGAAGTCCAGGACAAGGTGCTGGTGGGATTGGCTTCTAGTGAGAACCTCTCCTTGGCTTGTGGGTAGCCTTTTAATCTTCATCCCCTGGAAGGCCGGCTTCAGGTGCTGTCATTGAGAACGGGGCTTTCCGTGATGGGCATGGTGGCACAGGCCTTTAATCCCAGCACTGGGAGGGCAGAGGAAGGCTGATCTCTGAGCTTATGGCCAGAGAGTTCCAGGACAGCCAAGACTGTTATACAGAGAAACCAAATCTATCTTGAAATACCAAACTAAATCAAACCAAACAAACAAACAAAAGAAAAAAACATAATAGTTACCCTACTAGCAAAGTAAATAATTTCATTATATACAATGTGTTAAAAAAAAAAGATGGTGGTGCCCTGAAGTAGAATGAATTTGAAGGCAGAGAAAACAAGAGATGATCAAGATGAAGACCTGAATGAGGATCTCCCTAATGTCAAACAGAAGTTGCTTTACAGACAGCGAGTTTTAGTCTAAATGACTGGAGAAATTCCATAAAAGCAGTGATCTCAGTGGTAACACTGAAAGACAGAAGACAGAACTGAAGAAAAGAGTTGGTATACGACAGGAGCTGAGACAAAAGACATTCATGTTAGAATCATTCCTGAAGACTGTCAGTAAGCACACTGGCTTTAAAAACTGCAATCCTACCACCTCAGTACAAACTGTTTCAGGTGCTGTCCCTTAGTTTTACCCCTCCTCTTCTTGGTCACAACTGAAGAACCTGTTTCTCTTCATTAATAAATTTCGTAACTAGTTTTACATGGATGACTAAATTCTACTCTTTTTTTGTGATACTGGCATTGAGCTCAACACTTGCGGGTGCCCAGCTAAGCATCCTCCACTGGGCTCATCCATTTCTCCCCCTTTCAACCAGCATGTCCCAGCCACTGTGACACTGTGAATTTCACTGAAGAGTGCCACCACCTTGCCAGGCCAAATTCTGCATCTCTGTGACTTCCACTCAACCCATGCCTGCCTGACCTTAGGACCAACTCACAGCTGGAGCGCTCTTCCCACGTGAAACTCAACTAGTCCTTCACCTTCCTTACGTAACACTTCTGCCCTTTTAACACTGCGGACAACGGGAGCTCCAGTTGGCCCCAGAGTCAGTGAATTGTTTGGTTTCACAGCAGTGCTCCTCATTGCTAGACTGTAATTTTATTAAGTGGGCTTAATGACAAGAAACCACAAACTCCAGGAAGTATTCAGTACTAATGCCTGTTGATGAGTGCACTGGTTAGTTTTATGTCAACCTGACACCGCTAGTTATTTGGAAAGAGAACCCTCAATGAGAAAAGCCTTCATTAGAGCACCTGTAGACAACTCTGTAGGACATTTTCTTGGTAACAGTGGAGGTGGGGATGCCACCTTCCCTGCATTCCTGTCGCAGGTCCTCTTGAGCTGAATGAGAAAGCAGGCTGACAAGCCATGAGAAACAACCAGTAAGCAGCTCCCCTCCAGAGCCTCTGCATCAGCTCCTCCTCCAGGTTAAAGCCTTGAATTATGCCCTGACTTCCTGGATCATGAACTATAAGGCTGCAAGAGTAACTCTTTCCTCCCCAGGTGCTTTTGGTCATGGTGTTTACCACAGCACCAGAAACCCGTGCGTGGATGGCTCAACTTCCACGTTCATCTTCCGAAACGTCTCTGTCACCACTGGAGCTGCAGGTGTTACTAAGCAGGCCTGCTTTGGTGTGGGAAGGACTTGGACTGGGGGTTACTATCTAATCTCAACTCCTTATTCTATCACCAACCGCCTTATCTGCTCTGCAAGTGTCCAACGCTCTTCTCACTTCCGATAAAGGACCTTCTCGGTTACCAAGCACTCCCTTTCCCCGAGCCTGGTCCTCTACGTAGCACTTTCTAATCAGCAGCGTGGTCAGCTCTATTCCAAAATAAAAATCTCAGCTCCTCTCTGTTCTCAGGAGGCTGCACGAGACTGACACCAAGCCCCAGACCTCAAGAAGCCACTGTAAGGAGGGATTCAGAGTTATTTTGGAGGGTAGTTAAGGGCAGGACAGCGTTAGAGTGAACTTGCTGAATTCGAATCTCAGATTGGTATTTGCAATCTGTGACCTGGGCGACTCACTCAACTCCTTCCATCATCTGGAGAAAGGCATAATAAATTCCTAGTAAATGTTCAATGAAAGCTACCTGTCAATGGTTGTATTTATTACAATTATTTACAGATGCATATCAAACTCCATGGAACTACATGTCTCTGTGGTATCTAGGATACACTGTACAAGGAGCACCTATTTTCCGCCATAGAATGTCCTCTTGTCTCCTCTCTGGCTGCTAAAATAGTAATCCTGTTGAGACCTTCAACAGCTACGGAACCTTTACATGTGAGTCAGCTGTGTTCCGTTTTTAACTATTTACCTTTATTATTTTAAATTACCTGTATGTGTCCCTGTGCGGGTACTGCAAGTGAGTGCAGGTGCTAGCAGAGGCCAGAGGAGTTGGAGTGCCCTGGAGCTGGAGCTGCGGGCAGTTATGAGCCACCTGCTCAGGGTGGGTGCTGGGAATCCTGCATGGGCCCTGCGGGAATGCTAAGCCATCTCTCCAGCCCCGATTTTCTTTAAATATGGTCCTATTTGTACTCTTATTTTGCATTTGGATTTATTCTACTCCGCTCTTCATTTTATGGTGTGTAGAATTTATAACTTTATAACTTAGGCTAATTAGATTTTTAACTTCCCTGACAGCAGCAAGAAACTGCTGAAATACTTCCGTAGCTTGGATACCGTTTTTTGAAGCAGACACGCATACATCAAGTAAATTGAATAAGATTAGAATATTATACTAAAGCCATTTCTAAAGATTTGATTTTTCCAGGGAGAATTTGGCCTGTAATAATTAAACTAACAGAAAATCGTTTCTAAATAGTTACCAAAGATCACCTTTGGAATTCAGCTTGGCGTTAATTCATAAAATGCCGTGATGATTTCCATACGCTTAACTCACAGTTGAATACCATTATCTGGAGTGGAGCAGCCCCTCTTCCTTTTACTGGATAATGCATACTATAAACACTCCAAATAAAGACACCTTCAAGAATATTTTTATCCCAAACCCAGTGCTTACTCTTCGGGAGGACTATGCTCAGCTCAAGGACCTGCACTTTCGATTGACTTTACACAACCAAACACGTGGCTGCCCAAAGACTTCAAACTACCCCGAAGAGTGAATGACGCATGATGGTCAAAGCGACACTCTCTCTCCTCTCAAACTTCACGCACTTTCCCTATCCCTTAGGGTAACGGGACTCAGGGAAGGCCAGGCCTCCCTGCCTAGACTCTAGCTCCGGGTAACGCGGGTACACGGCATCATCTTCGGGGCGCTCCTTGCAGTACGAAGGCTGGGGAGACCGACGTCTCCTCTGGGTGTTTAGTGGCTCGCTGGGGCTGACAGCGAAGGAGGCCTCCCGGGGCGTTGGGCCGGCTCTTACCAGCGAAGCGGATCTTCACCAGGTCCAGCGGGTGCAGCGCCAGGTTGGACAAGACCCCGCCGCTCACGCCAGCCACCAGGTTCTCGTACCGGACGTGGCGGAACACCGTGCTCCACGCCGCGGACCCGGCGGCCGCCGACTGGCCCTGGCCTGTCATGGGCTCGGGGTTCGCAGGAACGACGGCGCCGAGCGCCGCCGACGTGGGACGAGATGTAGTGGCCGCCACCGTGGCGACAGTCGCGGAGGCCCGGGGCCAGGAAGGCAGGACGCGAGCCCACTTCAGGACCGGAGCCCGGGACACACGCGGGCGAGACCGGCGGCGAGACCCGAGCTCGAGCCGAGCCGAGCCCCCTCGGCCACGCCCACAGCTGCCTGCGCCCGCCCACCCTTTGACGTCACGCGAGCGACCGCTGAAGGACCGCCTCCAGCCTCGAACTGAGCGACTACGGAACGCCGCGGGGTCCAGGGCAGCCAACCCGCTGCTAAGCGGCGAAGCCACGTGACAGGAAGAGGCCCACGGAAGGCGGAAGTCGCGTGTCTGCCAGGAGGCCGGCGGAACCCGAACCCGGCTAGAGGCTCGTGGGGCCCCGAGACCCAGAGCCGCCAAGATGAAGGTGAAGATGCTGAGCCGGAACCCGGACAACTATGTCCGCGAAACCAAGCTGGACATACAAAGAGGTGAGACGAGCTGAAGCCGAGGAAGGCGCGCCTTCCCGGGCTGCCAGCGTCTGGGCAGCTTTCGTGCTAGGCGGCTCTGTCCACACAGGGCTGTCCTCTTTGGACCACATCTCTTCACGTCCTTTTTGAGCATTTTCCGCTAGTGGGAAGTTGTTCCGTCTAGAGTAACGGGAAGAATGCTTTCTGTTTTCAGCTTGTGTCGCTCCGTGTTCAGATTGGTAGCTGTTGGAAAGTGGAGTTTGAGTCAAACTCGTGAGTTCAGAGTTCAAGACTTTTAAAAACTTAGTTGCTGCTTTGGGCACTTTACTATTTCGGATTATCTACTTCTGGAGAAGGGAAGGAAAAAAGAAGTCAGTTTTCGCATAACTGCTTGAGAGTTTGAGGAAAGAATGGTTAAAATGAAGTTGGTGACTTTTACTTATCTTTGCTGGTCTGTACCCCGTTAGCATGCCGACCCTTTATGAATTAGTTCTTGGTAACCTAAATGACAGGAGACTGCTCTTGTATGAACAGACCGTTCTAACTGAAGAGAGTAGTAGCTATAACTAGGCAAAGGACAGAAGTATCATGCCTTTAGAGGGAATGAGAGTACGTGATAGAAGAGGGAGCTGGAACATTCTCTCTTGGTTACTAGAGGTTACCATCGTTGGTGTGTGTGTGTGAGAGCTTTGCTAAGATGTGGTATATGATCTGTGTGTGTATGTGTAAGCTTTGCCAAGGTGTGGTATATGGTCTCTGTATATATGTATATATATATATGGTGTGTGTGAGCTTTGCTAAGATGTGGTATATCGTCTCTGTGTGTATGAGCATTGCTAAGATGTGGTATATGGTTTCTCTGTGTATATGTGAGCTTTGCTAAGATGTGGTATATGATCTGTGTGTGTATGTGTAAGCTTTGCTAAGGTGTGGTATATGATCTGTGTGTATGTGTCAGCTTTGCTAAGATGTGGTATATGTTCTGTGTGTGTATATGTCAGCTTTGCTAAGATGTGGTATATGTTCTGTGTGTGTATATGTCAGCTTTGCTAAGATGTGGTATATGGTCTCTGTGTGTATGAGCATTGCTAAGATGTGGTATATGGTCTTTGTGTACGAGCTTTGCTAAGATGTGTTACATGGTCTGTGTGTGTGTATGTTAGCTTTGCTAAGATGTGGTATATGGTCTCTGTGTGTGTGTGTGTATATATATATATATGTATATATGTGAGCTTTGCTAAGATATTGTATATGGCCTGTGTGTGTGTGTGTGTGTGAGTGTGAGCTTTGCTAAGATATGGTATAGTCTGTGTGTGTGTGTGTATTTGTGAGTTTTGCTAAGATGTGGTGTATGGTCTCTGCACCCAAGTAAGTTCACAGGACACTGTTTCTTAAATGTGGAGTAGGTTGTCACGTGGATTCGATATTATCTTTAGTCTTCAGACATCCCTGGTTCTTCCTTCACCACTTTGACCCGCCAGGGTGTTGCTGGTAAGCAGCTTGTGTTAACCTTGCCAGTATCGGTGCGTTTTGGCTTGTCTGTTCCAGCTGTACCTGTGGGAAACTTTCTCTCGACCATCGTCTCTACATACTCATCCCCCGAATGTGCCGTCCTGCATTTCAGTACCCTCTCCTGTGTTTCCAGTACAGATTTGTAGATTTCTGTCAGCGCTTATCACGTGGTCTCATGGTTGTGTTTTGATTAACAGGCTTTCCTGTCATGTTGCCGTGTGCACTGTGCTAAGTGAGTCACAGAAATAGCTGAAGGAGTGAATGAGTGGGTGAGAGCCTGGGCACTGAATCTTATTCTAGGAGGTACAGCCATTTATGTCATTAACATTTTTTCAGTGTCTTCCTCTTTTTGTTTTAGAATGCAAATGTTAATAGCAAAATGGAAAAATAGGATTTTTGGAGTGCTGTAAATGTAAAAAAAGAAATGCAGTTGTTGTAGCTTATTTTTATTTAGTGTTGTTTCCTTGTAAATTTTATGCGGTGTTTAAAAACTGGGGTAAGTACTGGTGAACCTTTATTTTTAATATATACTTAATTCTGATGTGGCTGGTTCATGTGTAAGAGCACCTTACACGTATATATGTGGTTTTTATGGGCATTTTAAACTGTGGTGTTCTGTACTTATGATGTACACCTGGGGCTGTGTTAGGATAGTGTCTGTCCTTGATTGGATGAATGAAGTTGGAGGTGGATGCCGTGGTTGTGATTTAGAAGGCTTAGCAAGAGACTGTGGTGTGTGAGGTCTGCGTGGATTGAGATGAAAGCTAAGTCTTGATGGCAGAGATGTACAGAAGGAAAGCGTGAAGTAGCTTTAAATGGCAGCGAATAAACTTGTTGGAGCTGAACTCCCGGAAGCTGGTGAGAGACTGAGACCAAGTTTTACAAGAGCAGAAAGGGACTTAATTCTGTGCCCTAAACGTTGGCACTTAGTGCACCTGTTACACTGTGGGGCAAACAATTAGAACATCAGTGTGTATTTCCTGTCTTAAGCTGAGCCAGGCTTGATGGTTCAAGCCTTTAATTCCAGAACTCAAGAGACAGAGGCAAACACTAGGCACGGTGGAAAGAAACGCCTTTAATCTCAGCACTCAGAGGCGGGTGGAGCTCTGTGAGTTCAAGGCCAGCCTGAAGAGTGAGTTTCCAGGACAGCTGGGGCTGCACAGTGAAACCCTGTCTCAAAAAACAAACAGTGGCAGAGGCAGACAGATTTCTGTGAGTTTCAGGCTAGCCTGGTCTACCAAGTGAGTTCCAGACCAGCCAGGGCTACATAGTGAGACCCCGTTTACAAACAAACAAGGTCCTTAATTTTCATTTCTGTAATTGTAATGAATTTATACTCTCATTCCTGTCTTATGCTGAGGGTCCTGAGAGGAGCAGAGTTGACGTGGGAGGATAGCTCTACCGTTGGAATATTGCAGTTATTATAGTTTCTGTTTATCATGGCGTACAATGACTTGTAGGGCGAAGGGAAAGACTTTAAAAATGTTTGTTCTCGCAGAAGTACTTTGACTTTATTATGGCAAGGTTCTTGGAAGAAACTATGAATTAAGTATTGCCTTTTAAAAGAAAATAAAGCCTATAATCTGCTCCAAGTCCTTTTTCCCCTGTTGTTTATTTGATTTTGAGCCAGGGTCTTTAACCCTGGCTAGCCTGGAATTCTCCACACGTACCATAGTAGACCATACTGGCCTCGAACTCTAGACACCCCCTGCTTCTGCCTCTGGAGCGCTGGTTTAAAGGTGTGCAGCACATGTTCAGCTTTTCCGAGTGATAAGCAAGGACTTTGCTTTTTAAAATTGTGCTGTTCAGAGATTCTTTTGAAAATATATGTTTGGAAATGTTTTCAGTACTTAAAAATTCTTATACTGAACTTGTTTATAATGATGGATTTTGTCTACATAAAAATACTTGAAAACAGCGTGATAGACCTTCTTTTTAACTATTAGATATCAGTTAGTTGTACGAATCAGAGAAGGTAGAACATTTTGAAACATACTTCAGAAATAACAGTAAATATCCCTAAATGAGTATCGCCAACCCTACACATCTTCCCTTTGGGTCTGCTTGTGAAGTCCGTCCTCACTTTGTCCAGCACCGTTTGTGGGAGGTTCATAGTGACCGCAGTCACATGTATCACGGGGAGAATGTGCTAGCAAGTGCCCGGTTATGGTCTGATTGCATCCCATTAACATGACACCGTGTGGAAGTCAGTGAGTCTTCTCCGTTGAAACCACATTTGGAGGCCTCGAATTTTTCTCTCAGGAGGCTTAATTGGAAGCAAATTTTAATGAAAGCAGGACATGGTAACGATGCTCATATTAAACAAACTGACTCAAAAACTGTGTTACAATGAGAAGTCTAAAGGCCTGACAACTACTGCAGCTGGCCTTTAAAAATTATATTTATGGGAATGACATGTGCTTGATTGATCTGGTAACAGTTTTGCTGCCAAATCAGGTCAAGGTGATATTATAGTAGTCTGGGTATAAGGTGATCAGGGCCAGCTCTTAAGTGGACATACAGGAAAGGGAAGAATGACTGTTTCCAAGAGGATGAGTGTTTGAATTTTGGGAGTGGAGACTGAAAGATGGAACTCAGGAATGACCAAGATTTGAGCTTTATTGCATGTTGGATATGCTATACCGTTAGTCAAAAAGCAAAGATAGCAGGGTCAAGTCATAGGGAAAATGTATACACTCTTACAAATGTTGAATTTGATTAGACACGGACTTAGAGTGAGGCAGTTTGTTTGGCAGGTTGGTTAAGAACATGGCTTATAGGCAGGTTGCTTAGCATCTCTGTGCTCAGTTTTACAATGGGAAACTGTAGAGTGGAAGAGAGTGGTAGAGCGATAGATACTGTAGGGTACCGGGGAGAAGACGTGAGTTAAGATGAGGTATTTGCAGTAGTGAACTCTTACGCCAGTGCTTTTCAAGGTAAACAAATGTACAAAGTGCTTGACAAGTAGTAGCTGTTAGAATAGTAGTATAGTTAGAAATCACAGTGTTGTGTGTCAGTGCGGTGTCCAGTACCATGGAGCAGCTAGCACAAGCAATATAGATTTTAGTTCGTCGTAGATCTTGGCTTTGTTCCAGATACTGTGCTGGCATAAAAAGGAGTACAAATGAACAGTGTGTTAGATCCCCACCAGTAAAGGGTCACAACCCAGTTGGATATGGTAGGATGCACAGAAGGAAAGCTGTGTGTGTGCAAGGCTGTATATGCCATGGTTTTCCCATCGTTCTGAAAAGGTTTGGAGGTGGCAGGTGTGCTTTTGTGTCTTTCATAGTGCTAAACAGAAAACAGTGTCCCTAATTAAAGGCTCAGTGAGCAACAGCTTACATGATTAGCTGGGGCTTTTCACAGGAACTAGTAAATGTGAATTATTTTATTAAGAGAGATTATTCTTATTCCAGTTCCAAGGAACTATGATCCAACCTTACATCCTTTTGAAGTTCCACGAGAATATGTAAGAGCTTTAAATGCTACCAAGTTGGAACGAGTGTTTGCAAAGCCATTCCTTGCGTCCCTGGATGGTCACCGTGATGGAGTCAATTGCCTGGCAAAGCATCCGAAGAGCCTGACGACTGTCCTTTCTGGGGCATGTGATGGAGAGGCAAGTCCACCTTAAGTCTGCTGCTTAAACTGACACATGCTCTCACAAACCTTTTATGCGGGGACTCTGGTTTCACTTTAGTTTAAGTCTTAAGCCTAAACTCTGAAACAATATTTAGTAGGTTTTTTTTAATCTGATCTTACAATGATATCACTTCAGTGGTGTGAGGTTCAACTTGACAGTCCATAAACTTACCATGTTTATAATGAGGGCATTTGAATTTCCACAGAAGTTGTTATTGATGAGTGAACACTTCATTTCCCATCTGGTAAGGGAAAAAAGACTGAAACACTTTAGAATCAACAGAGGATTTGACAGTTGAGTTATCTGACTGTTGACACATTTATCCATATGCAGTACATTATTTTCATCCGAAGGATTTTGGTTTTAGAGCCCAGAAGAGTGACTCATATCCTTTTCAGTGTGGGGTTTCTAGAATATTTTATATTTAGAGTTCACTGAAATGTTTGATGTTTTCTCATAGGTTAAAATTTGGAACCTGACTAGACGAAAATGTGTCCGAACGATACAAGCACATGAAGGCTTTGTGCGAGGGATATGCGCTCGCTTTTGTGGGACTTCCTTTTTTACTGTGAGTAAGCTGTTGCTCAGTAGTCTTCCCAGCATGCCCAGGAGAGATGTGATTGCACAAGTTATTTCCAGGTTCATTACTTCGTCCCAAGGACCTTTGGAGCTCCTTAGTACAGAAGAGCGCATTAAACCTTGACAAGCCCCACTCTTCTTTAAGTAGTCCAGCCTTACCCGTACGTACTGGCTTTTGCCTTTTTACAAACAAGTACCTAACACCATTGTACTATTATCCTGAACACATAGAAGTGGAGTTAGTGGGAATTGAGGCGAGAATGATTGTGTGACTTACTATGGAAGATATTCTGTGCTAAGACTATTTGCTGTTTCAGCCATTTTCGAGTGTCCAATTTCATTCCGTGCGTTCATACCACCGTGCTGCCGCCATTGTTGCCCCCCCCCCACAGCTTAGCTTACACACTAACACTCTGTTCCCTGAATGACAGTGCCGTGCTCTCCTCGCGGCCTAGTGACAGCTTCTGCTTTCTGTCTCTGAATTTAACTGGTCTAGATGTTCCACATAAGTAGAATCAGTCTTTGTGTGTGCAATTGCCTAACCTTTCCTCGCTTATAGCTTGAAGTCACGGAAGTCACGGTTACCTGTGATGTAGCTAGCACACACTAGAATCCTTTCCTGAGGGGACATAATATTAACAGTGACGCATATATACCATTTTTAACCCACTCATTTTTTTAGTTTAGAAACAAACTTTTAGTTTGTTTCCACCTCTTTGCTATTACGAGTAATGCTGTGAATGTTGGTGTGTAGATATTAGTTGACGTTCGCCATGTTCTGTAGCAGGTGGACAGTGGTTCCCTGCTGTGCTTGAGATGATTGCTTTAAAAGCAGTGAAGGCTCAGCTGGTGGTGATACTACAGCCAGCCACTGGCACTCACCTCTACCTCAGACCGAAATGTCTCCAGGAATCCTCAAACTCTGGAGCACTGAGTCCCTGTCTCTTCCCTCTTTATGTTCCTCTCTCCTCCCAGCCCCATCGCTACTGTGCTGGGATTAAATTGTTCCAAGTGCTGGGATCACCTTTGTGTGAGCTCTGTTTCTCTTTTAGGCAGATTCAGTCTCCTGTAGCCCAGGGTGGTCTTGAGCTCTCAGAGGTCCACCTCTGTCTCCAGAATCCTGGGGGATTAAGGGTGTGTGCCACCACTCCCTGACTTGTCGGCTGACTAGTCAGACTGCTTTGCTTTCTAATCTTCAAGCAAACTTTATTTATTTATTTATTTATTCGAGATTTATTTATTATGTATATAACATTCCTTCCGTGTGTGCTTGCATGCCAGAAGAGGACACCAGAATAGATGGCTGTGAGCTGGGAATTGAACTCACGTCCTCTGGAAGAGCAGTCAGTGCTCTTAACCTCTGAGCCATCTCTCCAGCCCCCAAACTTTATTTATTAAAACAAATGATATACCACCATAGAGGGCCTACCTGGTGAATAAAGCCTGTGAGAAATGGTGTTCAGATTGAGTATTAGTTTGGAGGCTTGAGTCTGTCAGATGACTGAGAGGGACATCAGAAAATAGCCGGTCCCGCATAAAAAAGGAGACGTCAGCCAGTGCCAGCAGGGTTAGAGGAGGAGAAGGCTCCAGTGTGATGAACTGGACCAGCAGGTTATTTGAGTGAAATTGACTGTCCTTTGTTCTGGGCCTTAAGAAAAGTCACAGCTAACCTTGGCACCATCTGTGTAGAACTAGTGAGTGAGATTGTAGTGTTACATCAGTATGAGGAAATGTAAAATATAAAGGTGTCAGGGGAGTGGCACTTAAAGTCACTTTAAGTAGGAAAACATAGTAGCCGCAGAGCAGGTCGAGCTGTGTGACACAGTGAATAGACTATATATGGTAGAAGGGTGGCAAGCTGGAGCTGCTGGCAGTGAGACGTCTGCACTTCCTGATGGCTCTCCTCTGATACCTGAACTGATAAAGTGGTATATCCCAGCCAGAAAGTGTGCGATATGTTTCCCTGTTTTATGGAGTTAGAGGCAGTTGTGAGCCTGATATAGGTACTGAAAATCCACTTCCACCCCTACCACCTGACTATCGGTATTGTAGGTGTGTGTGTCACCGTGCCAGGCTCAAGACTTTCTAAACTATTAATCTTTGTTGCAAGGGAGGGCCCGCTTGTTTGTCCCGGCCACCCAGCTAGCTTAGCCCCAAAATAACCACACAAATTGTATTAATTAAATCACTGCTTGGTCCATTAGTTCTAACATCTTATTGACTAACTCTTACACCTTGACTTATTAATCTATGTATTGCCATGTGGCAGTGGCTTACCGGGAAAGATTCAACATGTCTGACTCTGGCGGCTCTCTCCTACTTCACCTTTCTTCCTCCCAGCATTCAGCTCTGTCTTCTCTGCTTACCTAAGTTCTGCCCTATTAGGCCAAAGCAGTTTCTTTATTCATTAACCAATGAAAGCAACACAAATACAGAAGGACCTCCTACACCAAATCTTATATTCCAGAACCATTTTATTATATTTTTTCCTTGATTTGAAATACCATTCTTATATGACCTAATTTTGATCTATTCTTAGCATTTTGCTTAACTCATACTGTTTTGTTTTTGATTTGATGTACTTTATATATTTTATAATATATTACAAATCTTTGTTATGATAAAGTAGTAGAAAATAAATGTAAAAATGAAAGAATGGTATGTGTTACTGTTTTGAATGAGATACTTATAATTTGATACATGTGTTTACAACTGTTGCTGTTTAAAGTCATTGTAAGATAACTGTGTCTAGGTTGGTGATGACAAAACTGTGAAGCAGTGGAAAATGGATGGGCCGGGCTGTGGAGAAGAAGAGGAGCCACTGCAGACCATACTAGGAAAGGTACAAAGACACATTGGGGCTTAGCCTGTTGAAATCCCTTGCCTTTTTTATAATTACAAAAGGAAAACTCATGTAACAACTGAGAGAGTTTATATCTAATCATTGGCTTACTACAGCAGTGTGTAAAAGTTACATTCTATATAATTAAAATTTTTTGAAACTTAAGAATATGAATAACTAGCCAGGTGGTGGCACACGCCTTTAATCCAAGCACTTGGGAGGCAGAGGCAGGTGGATCTCTGTGAGTTCAAGACCAGCCTGGTCTACAAGAGCTAGTTCCAGGACAGGCTCCAAAGCTACAGAGAAACCCTGTCTCAAAAAACAAAAAACAAAAAAAAAACCAAACAAACAAACAAACAAAAAGAATATAAATAGTTGTTTGGTGCTCAGTGTAGTAGAATTTAGAATTTGATTTCTCTTTAGCTTGTTCCATCCATGCTAGACACTACAAGTCATGCAGGGGCTGCAATGCAGTATTATGGAAGCCCTGGGAGAACTGTGTAAGATAAATGTTAGGAGAATAATAGCTTGGCTCCTGTCTGGTTTTGTGCTTCTCATATAATCTTAAACTTCTCAGAAATTGTTCTCCAAGTCTCATGGGTTCAGGGACAGCCTATGTGCGATTTACCACATTTGGCTTACACATGTTTGTAATGCTGACATTCTGTATGAAGAATACAAAATTCTGAAGCTCAGTTTAATCTTTAAATATGTGCATTTTAAAAATTGCTGCTTTATTTTACTATTACGCATTAGTGTATATTTAGGTACAGCTTCTGGTTTCAACAAGTTCAGAATATTCTTTTTGTTTTGTTTTGTTTTTTGTTTTTCAAGACAGGGTTTCTCTGCAACAGCCCTGTAGTGATAGGAGCGGCAGGGCTGCGTCCCCGGCACCCGGCCGCCCGCATGGCTAGCTTATGCCCGAAATAATTACACGGAAACTGTATTCTTTTAAACACTGCCTGGCCCGTTATCTGTAGCCTCTTACTGGCTAGCTCTTACATATTAATCTAACCCATTTCTAATAATCTGTGTAGCCCACGAGGTGGCTTACCAGAGAAGATCTTAACCTGCGACTTTCTGGAGTGGGAGAATCATGGCGACTCCCTGACTCAGCTTCTTTCTCCCAGCATCCTGTTCTGTTTCCTCCACCCACCTAAGGGTGGGCCTATCAAATGGGCTAAGGCAGTTTCTTTATTAATAAGAAATCACTCCCACATCACAGCCCTGGCTGTCCTGGAATTAGGTCTTTGACCAAGCTGTGACCTTGTTCTCAAAGAGATCTTCCTGCCTCTGCCTCCTGAGTGCTGGGATTAAAAGTGTCCACTGCCACCCCTGCCATCTGGCACCTTTTGCCCTTTAATGAAGGACTTCAAAGAAATTTCTTTACATTTGCCCAAAGGGGAGATGGCATGACTGTTAAGGTGGCTCTTCCAGAGTGAAGTTTGCCTGTTACATCCTGGATGTGCCAACCTGTAACTCCCCAAATGGAGGAAGCTCGGTTCACAGTGCGTGGTAAAGGGTTGTGGGAGAACAGGAAAGAAGTTCTTTGTAGCAAGGATTTCTAAAGTATGCTGGTCTAAAGTCTTAGTGAGGCGCACGTGTCTAACACCCTTGGCTTCCAAAGACAGTGTACACCGGCATTGACCATCACTGGAAAGACCCCGTCTTCGCCACCTGTGGACAGCAAGTGGACATTTGGGACGAACAAAGAACCAGCCCTGTGTGCTCAATGAACTGGGGATTTGACAGTATATGCAGTGTTAAATTTAACCCCATTGAGGTAATGTTCCTTTAAAAAATAAGTTCTGCTTATTGATTAACATGAAATCTGAGCCCTGTTCAGGAAGCATTTTCTACATTTGAATGGTTTTCTGGCATTTGATAAGTTTTCCAGGTTATATTTGGGTTCTGTGAACTCTCAGCTGACCTCAGAGTAGAATCCAAATAAATACTTGCCTCTTTATGCTTTTGTTTTTGAAGCCCTTGGGTATCACAGACTGGTCTTGAACTTGCGACCCTTTTTCCCAGGCCTCTCATTAGCTCTCCTTCCCATGCTCCCCACACTGTTCCATCTGTACCGTTGTACTTTGAGGAAGATGCTCCTTTTCCTTTGTCCTCCTGCGGTCACGAGAGTGAGCACTGAGCATGCTGGTCCGTGTCTGTAAGTCACAGGGTGCCCATGGCTCACAGTAATATGCATGGCCACTCCTGGACTGCATGGTTAGTACTTTCAGGTCGTCTATGCTCTGAAATGTGAGTTTATTCCTAATTCCTTCTTGGTCTAAGTGCAGATGTGAGGTCGGCCTTGCATACTATCTATTTGTGAACTTGGGAAGAGAGATTGGCCTGGAGCATAATGGGGCCGTTGTATTCCAGACCTTTTCCTGATCTTTTCTGAATGCATAACAATAAATGACCTCATTGTCCAGAAGACTCAGTCAAGACGCCCTTTCTTTCAGTGTTACTAGGAAGCTACCTTGTAAATTTGTGAGAGGAAATCCTGGAATGCAGATTTCAGACTCTCTCAGAGCCAGTGTGGTAAGAGAGGGAGGGACGGCTAGGCCAGAGTAGCGGAGTATAACTGTACATGCGGTGTGCTGGGACATGGTGTGCTGCAGCACAGTGTAAGCTTGTGCTAGACGGATTGCCAAGAGGCCAGCAGACACGGCTACCCTGCCTCCAGAATGTGCCTGGATTCACACTTCTGAATGAGGCTGCCCACAGGCCCAGAGCAGGGGTTGCAGCGTATCCACTGCCTGATACAATGTCTCACTAGAACACAAGCAGACCTCTTACTCTACTGTCTGCAGCCACTTTTTTACCATAGTGAAAAATTAGAGTCATTGCTCTGGGAATCACATGCCTGTGAAGCCTAAAATACCTTCTTCCTGGCTTATGGAGAAGGTTCACTGATCCCTAGTCTTGTTTTGTCAGAGCCATGTGTTCTGAGTGCCTCCTGCATCTCCCTTCCCTTTCTCTTTGGTTGTCTTACTGACACACAGCAGGAAACACAGACAGTGATTGCTAGTTTTTGACAGGGCATACAAATATTATGCTTTCCTATTTTGATGAACATATCAGAAGAGCTAATGGCCAGTTGTGAAATCATAATTACTGGTCATGACCTATCGACCATGTTTTTCAAACTTGCCTATTTAATAGCTCTATTTGTCCATTGGCTTTTTTATCTTATGAATTGACTTAGTGATAAAAGCAAATGATGTGCGTGTCTCTTACCCTGTATTAAAGCTAATGGAGAGGGTGGGGCCAATTGCTGTGAACAAACAGAGTAGTTATTTCCTTTATTCATTAATAATTAATTTTCTGTTAAAATATTGAAGCCCAAAATTCTGGTAAAGTCAGAAGATAATACTGAAGATTGTCACATTTTGTAGTGTGAAAGTTTATATTCAGTCCGGGTGGAACTTTTTGTTATGTTCATTTCAAAGTCTTTGTTTTAGAAATTGGCCCTGGTCTTACTCAAAGGTAACATAATGAAAAGCTACTAAAAGTTAAGAGGTTAAGAGCTAACAGAGATCTCAGAAGCAACCATTGAGACAGGCTTTTGAAAAGAGAGGGACCCAGATCATGCCTTTACCCTTCGTTTCTATTTCATTAAACTCTGTGCACATGGTAGGAACTGCTCTGCTTGCGACAGGAAGTGGTGTTAGACAGAAGCCAAGAGCTATGGTATCTGGAGCCACGACTAAGGAAGAGTGTTACAAGGAGTGGGATCAGGGGCTGAGGGATGACTTCGTGGGAAGCAGGCCTGCTGTATAAGCAAGGGGACTGAACTTGGATCCACAGCACCCATGTAGAAGCTGAGCATGTGGTGTGTCTGTAGCCTATGTTAGGGTGCAGAGACAGGGATCCTGAGCATAGCAGCATGCCTAGAACCTATGTTAAAGCGTGGAGACAGGAATCCCAGGGATTCACAGGTTAGTTCTAGCCAACATGGTGAGCTTCAAAGACAGTGAAAGACTGTCTTAGAAAATAAAAGGGATAGAGGAGCTGAAGAGATGACTCAGTGGTTAAGAGTACTTGCTGTTCTTGTAGGAGACCTAGATTTGGTGCCCGGCATCCACATGGGTGTCTCACAGCCATCTGTAATTCCAGTTCCAAGGAACCCATCACTCTATTCTGCATCTACAGGCACCAGGCATGCATGTGGTGCATAGACATACATGCAGGCAAAACAGTTATTCACATAAACGAATTCTCGAAGATTTTTGAAGGGCTGAGAAGATGGGGGAGATGGCTCAGTACATACTTGCCCACGGACCACCAGCCTGAAGCCTGAGTTAATTCCTGGAACCCATGTGGCAGGAGGAGAGAACTCACTCCTGTAAGGCTGTTTCCCAGCGTCCACACCTGTGAAGAGTACACGCATGCGCCCAACAAAGAACGTGAAGGATAGAGCAGCACAGTTGGCTTCCAGGCACAGGCGAGCCCACCCTCCTATGCACACACCGCATATGCACAAGTGGAATCAGGCCTCTACTGGACGGTAGCCCATTTTCACTCAACACCAAGGCCTGTCATAAGTGTCATAAGTCATGTGGCGGTGCATGCCTGGAAACCAAGACCGGAGGGTCACAAGCTTGATGCCATCCTGGACAACATAGTGAGCTAAAGACTCCTGTGGAAGGAGGGAAGGAGGACAGATGGACACACATGGCTCAGGAGATAGCTCAGGGAGTATAACGTGTGCTGAGCAATAATGAGGACCTGGGCTTGCATCTCCAGCATTCATGTAAGACCTGGGCACGCTAGTGCATGTCTGCAACCCAGTGCTATGGAGCGCAGAGATAGGCGGATCCCAGGATGTGCCGACCAGCCACTGGAGCTGAATGGTGGCTGTGGAAGATGTCCTGTGACAGAGCATAGGACAGAGAGCAGGAGAAAGACACCCAACATTGACCTCTGATCTCCACGTGCACCTTTACTCGCATGCATGCATAAACCACACACACACAAGCACATGGTGCACACACTCAGTCCCATAAAGGACAGAGCGTATTTATGCAGCAGCCACAAACAAAAGGAAATGTTTACTTCTAATAAAGCAAAAAATTTGAGTGTTTAGAAAATATTGTCATAGTTGTAATAAAAAGTACATTCTCACATGACAGTGATATTAGCATCACTTTTGAAAAATAAGTAACCTTAAATGTCATAAAATCATTAACATTTTTGATTCACTAATACCACTCCAGAAATTTTATGTTAAGGAAACAATTCAAAAAAAGAGTTTAATGTCTGAAAATATTTCCTGAAGTCTTATTTATAGCAGTCAAAAGCAGTAACTAAATCTTACATTGGAGAGCAAATAAGTAAAATACGTTCTGCTAGAAACAGGGCATATTGTTATTGCCACTACCTAAAATACATGTATGGAGATTTAAACATGAAAATACTTGTCTTAGCTGAGATTATGGTGATTTATTAAACCCTCATAAAATGGGATATAAATATTAAAGATAAATAATTTTTGTTTTAAATAGACATCTTTTGCTTCCAAGCCTGGCTTTTAATTGATGATTGTTGCCATTATTTTTAGACATTTATCCTGGGAAGTTGTGCTTCTGATAGGAATATAGTATTGTATGATATGCGGCAAGCCACGCCTCTGAAGAAGGTGAGTTCTGGTCTTGTCTGTGTGTTATACAGTTGTTAAGGCATTCTGTATATCAAGTGACGATGGTAATGACATCCAGCTCTCCATTGATTTTAGACTCTGTCTCTTTGTGACTTCAGTAATGCCAGTACACCTTAGGCGTTTCATTAGTCCTTGCTAAATTGAAGTTTTTAAAATGAAAGATGTTTCATTGCATTACTTAATATGTACTAATTTGAGGGGAGCTTGATTATCATGCGGCATAGCCATTATTTTATTCAAAACGGTTTTAGCACTCATCCGTATAGGCAGCTGTTTTAATTACATGCTGACGCTAGTCCGACTCTTGGTTAGACAAGCACTGTCGTGCTGATGAGGGGGTTTTCCTAGTCTTCATTCGCCATGGTCATTTCAGGACTTAGATATCAAAGTTAGTACATCGTTTGTCAACTGTCAAGAGAGGAATGTTGTTTGTACATGAAGTGGACTACCATTTTAAGAAGAGTTGACATCAAGCATTGTAGTATTGTCAGGGCACAAGAAGGGCTAGATGTCATTCATGCGCCATGAGTGTATGGCACAGTTCACATACAGAATTCCTTTTGTCAGTTAGATGTGGTGTTCCAGGTTTGCAGTCCTAGCACTTGCTAGGTGAAGGAGGAGGACCGGGAATTCAAGGTCATCCTGACACTGAGTTCCAGGCCAGCTTAGGCTCAATGAGACTCTAGCAAAAGAATAAGAAAAAAAAAAAAACATTTTGTAATATGTTGATAGATTCAGAAATATTAAAAGTAGAAAGAATGAGATTAGCATATTCATTATTCATTAAAAGTGAAAATTAGTTATTTATCCTGTGATACATGAACTTTGATGGTATTAACCAGTACCTTGCTGTATATTTATAGAAAAAAGACATACTTTTTAAAAAGCTGACATGAAGTTCTAGTTTACTGAATAGTAGTCTTTGACAAGTACACACATCTGCATACATAGCCTGCTTTAGTGTAGGTCCATTCGCTGTGAATGGAAGAAAGTAACTGTAGTCTGTCATCTGGTGCACTCACAATCTCGGCCCAGCTTGCATTGCGTTCATTTGTTTTAAAAGTCATTTGAAGGGAGCTGGAGAGATGGCTCAGTGCTTAAGAGCATTGCCTGCTCTTCCAAAGGTCCTGAGTTCAATTCCCAGCAGCCACATGGTGGCTCACAACCATCTGTAAAGAGGTCTGGTGCCCTCTTCTGGCCTTCAGGCATACACACAGGCAGAATATTGTATACATAATAAATAAGTAAGTAAGTAAATAAATAAATAAATAAATAAATATTTTTAAAAAAAGTCATTTGAAGTTCAGGGGCTAGGTGTTAACTATAGTTACCGCTCTGTTCTCAGGAATAGTCATGGATTTCATTCACCATGCTCTGAATTGTGCACTGTGCATACTAAAGGACTTGCTCCAATCAGACCAAAAGAAAGTAGATGTATTATTTCCTATATGTTAATTTGTGGTGGTGGGTGATCCTTTCTCAGGTTATCTTGGATATGAGAACAAATACAATCTGCTGGAACCCTATGGAAGCTTTCCATTTTACTGCAGCAAATGAAGATTATAAGTAAGTGTCTCTCTCCTAGAAACTCACCTACTCGCTGCATGGCCTTGTCAACACGCACGTCTCACCTGCTGAGGGCGCTTTCGTCAGTGAATTTGGAAGCTGCCTTTGTTAGGCTGAAAATAATTTCCCAAATTGGAGAAGTTTTTAGGAAAAAAAATTCTCTCGGATTTTAGAATAACTTAGACAAAAAACAGTAAGCTGGCATCTTTGGGTAAATCCTGTCTCATGCCTGTGGCTGTGATTGTTTGCTGTCTCCTGGTCCGTTGTGATGCCCATGCTGGGGAGTTACAGTACAGCCCTGACCAAGCACAGGAAACTATATGATCCCTGCTGTAGGCCATTTAAGTGATGACTGGACCAGCAGGTTTGATGTCGCAAGTCTGTGTTCCTAGCATTCCGGAGGTTGAGGCAGGAGGATTGAGTGTGAGGCTACCAGGGTTACATGGTATGTTCAAAGCCAGCTTGGGTTCTATAGGAAGACATCGTTTCAGAACAAACATGAACAAGTAATGCTTGGTCCGTACATTACAGGTGTTTTACAGGTGTTTCTGACTCCTCAGGCAGCTGTAGCTCTTGTAGTTAAACTGTCCGCTGTCATTAGTAAAGAAAGTGATCGTTTCAATTTTTAGCTTAGTAGTTGCATATATTTTCTGTGCCTGAAAAGCTGACCTAGCAGACTTGCTTTGACCTCTGTGAGATTTAGATCCTTATGTGATGCTTTACTCCTGTTGGACATTGCCCATTGGCTGTCTTATCCATCGCCTCGGCGTTTGTTCAGTCAAGTCAGGTCAGGTGTCTTAGCCAGAGAGCCTAATCCAGTGAAAAGTATAGATCAGTCTTACTTTATTTTTATTTTTAATGCATTTTATTATTATTTTAAAGGACTTTTTTCTTTCTTTCTTTGGTTTTTTTAAGATAGGGTTTCTCTGTGTATCCATGATTATCCTGGAACTTACTCTGTAGACCAGGCTGGCCTTGAACTCAGAGATCTGCCTCTGTCTCCTGAGTGCTGGGATTAAACGTGTGAACCCCTGCCTGGCTTTAAGTACATTTTTAACAACTTTTTGAGAAGATACAAACTTGGTGGATTTGAACTTTAGATTTTCTGTATTTTAAATCTGTCCACCAGAGGCTGGAGAGATGGCTCAACAGTTAGAGTTTTCATTACTCTTGCAGAGGACCCATGTTCTGATGCCAGCACCCACATTGGGCAGCTCACAGCCACCTGTAAGTCTGGTTCCAGGTGTCTGACGCCCTCTTCTGGCTTCTGAAGGCCCCTGCACATACGTAGTGCACACACAGACAAGGAAGTTCACACACATGCACATGCACATAAGTAAAAAGTCTTTGTATAGATTAGAGACTAAACGGCAGCAGTATCAGCTCGTACTTGGAACTACAGGTTCTTCAGTGGCACTGCCTGAAGTTCTCTTGTACGATTACTGTATTGAGAAGTGCAGTGGCGCCATTAGCAGTACCAGCCACATTGAGGCCTTTCTTCCTGTAATAGATGCTTTGAAATGAAAGAGTGCTGTGCAATTAAAGACAACAAAAGACAAGAGTCATGCTGCAGCGCAGTGACCTCTTTGCTGAGATCTAAAGTACGTTGTGAACTAGCTCTTCGCCAAAATAATCTTTTTTCAGAGCCTTCTTGGAATTTCTCACTTCTTGCCTTGGAAAGAATTACATACAGTTCCTAAAACAAGACATATCGCTTATAAGAAATGACTGCTAGTTTTTCATAATTGTCCTTATTTTTAAAATACTCTTGGTGAGTATGATGGTGTATGCCTGTAATCCTAGCACTGGGGAAACTGAGGCAAGAAGGATGAGGAGAGGAGTTCAGGGTTATCTGCTATGGAGAAAATTTGGCCGCGTGGCTGAAGGGCTGCATGAGAGCCTCGCTCAGACAGAAGGGTCTGTTGTGGGGCCTCTGCTCTGTGTCAGATCTAAAGATTCAGATCTAAAGCATCCAGCTGTTACTGTAGGAAGTGGGTCTTGCTGTCTGTAGGAAGAAGGGTGTAGAGTAGATGCTCCTCAAGAATGACCATAGGCAATCCTGTCCAGAAGGATTGATGTGCTTGGAATTTGAACAGATTTGCATTTTTTTTTCTCCACAGAATGTTGAAACAATTTGTAGAAAAGCTATGTGTTTTAAGGAAAGAAGTGTTGGGAATCACGTGTCAGGCGGACAGTGTGTTGTAGCTGTCAAGTCAGAAATTAAAGCTCCAAATCAGAGAGACCCTGGCTCAAGCCTAGGGGTTGTTGGAAGCTCTTAGAAGGAGTAGTGCTTTGGGCTGTTTGTTTTGATCTTTCCTGAGATGGGCTCAGGTTGGCCTAGAACTTGCTCCTGTTTCAGTCTCTTGGTTGGTGAGGCTACAGGCATGAAGCCCTAAGCACCCTACCCAGAGTGGCTTGTCTTTTGATAAGAATATTATGAGTTTTTGTAAATGCTTGCCTGCATGTGTTGTGTTCTATCATTATCCTAGTCCAGACAACTAACAAATGGCCATAGATTGCGGGGTTAAGGAAAGAGAATGATTTTATCCTAGTTTGGGAATTGCCAGCTTAATCAGGATCAGTGAGGGCCCTGTTCCAGAATGTGAACTCCTGTCCTCACAGAGGGTGCTGCTCTCTGGCCCTTCCACATTTGTGAGTGTGCGCATCCACGGGCACAACCCGTAATGCACATGTGGGGGTCAGAGGGCACCACGTGGGTCCTGAGGACTGCGCTCAGGTCACTAGTCTGACGGTACACCCTTACTCATGGAGCTGTCACATTGCTATTTTCTATTTTGTGTGATGATGTTCCAAAGCAGAATTACTGGTGTTTTTCTCTGTGTCTTACCTGCCTTAACTGTATTCAGAATCGGACTGCTTAATAAGGGGGGGGGGTCCTTATTTAGCTAATGTTCTTTTAATACTACATATGGCTTCTTTGTAGAAATTTGAATGAAACATTTAATGATGTTTTACAGCTTGTATACTTTTGATATGCGTGCCCTGGACACACCTGTTCAGGTGCACATGGAACACGTCTCTGCAGTACTTGACGTGGACTACTCCCCCACTGGGAAAGAGTTTGTGTCTGCCAGCTTCGATAAGTCTATCCGAATCTTCCCTGTGGAGAGGAGCCGGAGCAGGTATGTGACTGGCATGGTCTGTTTAGTCCTGGTAACCCTTTGTTTTTCTTAGAAGGTGGCTGTTGGTGTGTATATAATAGGGCTTGGGGATTGTGACATGGAGTGTCACTCCACTGAATTGTGTCGGATCAAATCAGGTGGTTTGTTTTATTGAGTAGGAGATTATTTCCAATAAGCCTATTAAAAGTTGAATTTGATGGTTAAGAACTCAGATACTTTCTTTTTCTGAAAGTAGTTTTAAAAGCAATGAATAATACTCCTGGTATTGTTTTTTACACATTCAAATCCAACTTACTCTACCAGGCAAAAATGTGCAGGAAAAGCGGTTTAGATATTGAGCTCATTCTCCTCCTTTCTAGGTTAGTCAGAACCTATGAAGTGGTCCACACAAGGTAGTTACCAACAATCAAGAGTTGGTTGATTAATCCGATGAAAAGTTCTGAGACATTTTATTAATGGCTAGACCAAGAGCAGCTTGTGCTTCTGAAATGTCTCTTGGTGACCAAGCTCAGGGTACATCATTTTAAAAGACAAAATCCCAATTTACGACCGTGCTCAGGGGAATGCCACTGGGGCGGTGTTATCTTACCGTATGGTAACATCTTTTCTTTTGCAAGCCTCAGCAGTGCATTCCAGACATTACACGACAATTATTTCTGATTTATTGTAGTTTTATGTTTAAGGTTGCACAAATACCAAATATTTTGTGTAATATGTCTAGACCATGGTTAGGTTCACGGACAATCCCCAAAGCGTTGCCAAGGCAGCTGTGGCTGTTGAGGGGGATGGAAGGCGGAGAAGTAGAGTAGGCAGACATAAAATGCGGTGGGGACAAGATGGCATTAACTTGGTCACTTCACCTGAGCTGGGAGGTGGGAGATGCTACGCTGATCCACTGGGTATCTCAGCCTATGAGCACACTTAGTCTGAGTTGTTTCCTACAGCTTAACTTTACCACTTATATGTGATTCAGTGCGCTCTTTATACATCCGTGCATTTTTATGTTGAGACAGTTGATAGAGAATTGTGGCATTTTCAGAGTCGTCAGGGAAATTTTGTACTTTAATTTTTACTTCACTGGCTGACTTGGTGATGCTGGGGATGTTACAAGGCCCTCATGCAAGTGCTGAACCCATGAGTTCTGCCTAGACCGTCACTCCTTAGAGCCAGGCTTGTGTGCTGCGGTTTACAAACTGCATGCACACTCTCTGTTCTTAGAGACGCTCTCCTGTAAGTACCACATAAACCAAGGGAAACTGAAGCAATTGATCCCATAAAACTTAGGACACTAAGCTTGGTGCTCCTCAGGAGGTAGAAGCAGGAAGATTGTAAGTTCCAGGCTATTTTGGTTTGCTTTCTATTGCTGAGGCAAAGCACCATGACCAAAAGCAACTTGGGGAGGAAAGAGTATCTGATTTATACATCCTAGTCAGTCTGTCAATGAAGGGGAGTCTGTTGAATTATCTCAAGTTGAGAAATAACCAGGCTAGCTAAAAGATAAAACAGTTACATTTTTATTTATTATAAGAGGCAAACTCACGAAACAGAAACAAGAAGTCCAAGCTCAGCTGTGCTGTGAGGGAACCACACAGAGAGAGGGCACAAAGCCACACCCTAACTTGGTCCCATCTCTTAAAGATAATTGGTTTACAGAGATTCCCTATCAGGAGTCAGGGCAGGAACTCAAAGCAGGAGCCTAGAGGCAAACACTTTTTTTTTTTTTTTTAACCACTAGAACTCCTTTCTCCAGGGATGGGCTGTCACACATCAGTCATTAATCAAGAAAATGCCCTGTAGATCTACCTATAGCTTCATCTGATGGAGGCATTTAAAGTTCCTCTTCCCAGGTGACTCTTGCTTGTCAGATTGACAAAACTAACCGCACAGGCTGTCCTACAAAATCACAGTGGGACAGATAAAGACTGTTGACAGGTTGGGATAGTCAGTCAGAGATATATGATTGCTCATAAATGCCTCTTAAAATATAAAAAGAAAATAATTTAGATGAATATATAAATGCACATACGTGTGTGTGTGTGTGTGTGTGTGTGTGTGTGTGTTTTCCCTTTCTTGATTGAGTGACCTAGGATTGTAGACAGAAGTTTTTACCCTCCCTGAACCCGCAGCTGTTCAGTCCCAAAGAAACACACTGAGGCTTATATTAATGACAAATTGTTTGGCCTATTAGGTTATTATTAACTGGCTCTAGAACTTAACCCATAATTCTTGTTTAGTCACACGGCTTAGTATCTTTTCTCAACGAGGCATTCTTACCTTACTTCCTCTGTGTCTGACTGGTGACTGCGTCTCTGTCTTTCCTCTTCCCAGAATTCTCCTAGTCTTGTTGTCCTGCCTATATTGCCTGCCTGGCTACTGGCCGATCAGCGTTTTATTAAACCAATATGAGTGATAGATCTTTACAGTGTATGAGCGTTTTCCCACAGCACAGGATTCCTGGAGAAAGCTGTAGTGATGTGTCTAGCTGGTGATGAAGGGAAGGAAGGGGAGATACCACACCGTCGTTGTGCGTAGTAAGGAATATTTGGAATAAACTAGCTTGTCTTCTGTAGCATGGAAGGCTCCTGTACCTTCTGGAAGAATGATGTTTGTTTTCAAAGGTACAACTGGTCCATTTTCTGACTCACCCTCTTTCCAGTGAGACAGTCAGTACTAGACAACAAGCAGGGTGTAGCGGGTGTGGAGTTTATGCCGCTAAGAGACCTTCCATACAGCCATCCTGAGAGCGAAGAACTCCACCTTTTTGGTCCTAGCCACTCTGCGTGTCTAAAGTTCTCACTGTTGTTACTTCTTTCTCCGCTCTCGTGTGAGGAAGCTGCATTGATACCGCGTCTTACTCCTTACCAGCAGACGATTGTGATGGCTTCTGGGCTTGAGTCAGGTGCATACTAATGAGTATTCTCAGAGCTTCAGTTTTCACTGCACACTTCTGTCCTCTGCTGCTGGTGGCTTTTGTAATGACCGTGGCATTCCCCCACATTCCTGTGAAGTTTGAAGTTTCCTACAAGAGTCTTACACTTGTAAAAGTATGAAAAATCAAAAACTCCATCATTTTGGGCATCTAGCTTTCTAAAGGTAGCGGGATTGTGCTAATATGGTGTGTAAGCAAAGAATGGATGGAATGAGTCAGAGAATAGAAAGTGGAATAGTTGAGGTATATCTAGGAAGCTCAGGTGATAACAGTCATAGATGGAAATTCTTACACTCCATTGCTGGGGGATTTTGTCCTGGTGTCATTTGAACATTCAGTAGTGTTCTTCTTCCTGTTTATCCAAACATGCTTGAGAGCTAGTTCCAGTTCATCCTCCATGGTCTGTTCTTCCTTTCTGTCATTACAGAGCATGTGTGACCAAGCTTACAGAACACTTTGAATGCTTTTATTTTATTTTAAAAGCGTTTGATCTTGAAAGACATTAAAATGGTTGGAGTTCACTATTTAGCTTTGAGGGTTAGTTTTGTCTTGTTTTAAAAGTCTCTTGTGCTGGGTGGTAGCACACATCTTTAATGCCAGCACTTGGGAAGCAGAGGTGGGCAGATCTCTGAGTTCAAGGCCAGCCTAGTCTATGGAGCGAATTTCAAGACAACCAGGGCTACACAAAGAAACCCTGTCTCTTAAAAAAGAAAAAAAAAAAGTCTCTTATATTCCAGGCTGACTGTAAATTGCTGTATATCCAAAGATGACATTGAACTCCTGATCCTGCCTCCCATGTGCTGAGCTTACAGGCATGTACCACCATGTCTGGTTTTATGCGGTGCTGGAAAGCAAACCTATGACTTCATGCATGCCAGACAAGCGATCTATCTCTGTAACCCATCGAGTAAATTTGGGGTGGGTATATAGATCATGCTGGCTCTCGAGTGTGCTTTAATTGTTAGAAATACGGTTTATTTGTTGTGCATGTGCATGCTGTGCACCTGCCATGCTGTGCCTGTGCAGGGCTCTGTTCAGTGTTTCCACAGTGTGGGCTCCAGCAGTGCAAGTCGGTTCACAGTTCACTAGGCCAGCAAGCAAAATCAGCAGCATTCACAAGAGAAAGTGGGCTTAGACTATTTTGTCTTTAAAAATGTCTCCTACTATAATGTTTAGTGAACTTAGTACACTCAGCATGTTGTAAACAAGGGGCTAGGGATTACATAGTTCACCACTGAGAAGGACCTTGAGTTGCTTCAGTGCCTGCCGGAGCTTTGACTGAGTCACACGAGCAAGTTGTTTTTGATGGTTCCTGGTGCGCGTGTGTGTATGTGTGTGTGAGAGAGAGAGACAGTGAACAAGGCTAGTGCATAAGTGCATCTAGAGATACGGTCTGTAAGTGGGTTTTATCTGATGTGGTTGTCTGGTTTATTTTACTGTGGATAATTTGTTAGACTTGTTACCTTTCTATTATGCCATCTGCATTTTGACTTGTTTTTCTGTATTTGGAACTAAGACAGCTCGTCTTAATTTCTCTGACCCTTTTCCTCTCTCTGAAATGCCCTTCTTCACACTCCCCATATAGCACCTCCTGTGAACTCCCCCAGCCTGCTTCCCAGCATCCCAAGTTCTGACTCGCCCTGCTGTTGAGATGATTCTTACCTCAGCCTCTCAGACACTTCTGCAGCCCTCCCTGTTTTCACACATGTAAATAAACTCTCACTTCAGTTAGGTTTTTAAGACAGTGCTCAAGCAAAAAGCAGAGCTGGCTTCAGCGTGCTGGGATGTACTCTTTGAGGCCACTGCATTAATTTTATTTCCCAGGAAAATGTCATTGGGGGTGGTGGCTGTTGACCTGAATTAAATTGGGGATGCGTCAGTATTTATTAAGAATAAGCCATGTCTAGCCAGGTGTGGAAGCACACTCACCCCCTCAACCCAAGCACTTGTGGGGCAGAGGCAGGCTGATCTCTGGTCTACAGAACTAAACAGGGAAACCCTGTCTTGAAAGTGGGAGTGGAGGAAGCTTCCAAAGTTATCCCTAAATTAAAATTAAATTTTGTTTCTTATACTTTCAACAATTTTGTATACAGTTTTACTAAGTGTGTTTATATTTATTTCTATTATTGCATGTCAGGTGATCCATTTTTAATTTTAATTCCTAAGTGTTTAGAATAGAACCTTATTAGTAAAGTTCAATAAAATGAAACTGAATTTTCCTTTTATACTTTCTCAGGACACAAAAATGGTTTTCTGGTCCCTGGTAGACAGTGGTTAAAGAAATCTGTTTTAAAATTTCCTCTTCTGCAGGGAAGTGTATCACACAAAGAGAATGCAGCACGTTATCTGTGTGAAGTGGACCTCTGACAGCAAGTACATCATGTGTGGCTCTGACGAGATGAACATCCGCCTCTGGAAGGCTAACGCCTCGGAGAAGCTGGGCGTGGTAAGCTCAGACCAGCTTTCAGTGTTACCGAATGTCATTTTGTAAAAGCTTTTTGAAGTACCTGATTGATCAGATTAACCAAAAGTCAGCACCAAAGCAAACAAAAGGTTTACTGACTTTTCCTGCAAGGCTGAGCAGAGGGCTCTTTTGGGGGACCTGAGTTTATCCATAGAACATACCAGACATAGATAGCAACAGGCCAGTACTCCCTGACAGTGGACTAAGGATGAGGAGGCTCCCTGCGGCTCCCTGTCCAGACTGGAGGACCAGCTGGTTGAATTGGCTAGGTCCAGGTTCAGAGACAGACTTGGTCTCAACTAAGCTGGGAGCAGTGGAGGACGACCCCATGTAGACTTTAGCCTTCCTGGCACCAGCTGTAGGTGTCCACAACAAGTGCGCTTTCAGAGGCTTTGTTTTCTTTTTTGTGGGTTTGTTTTGGTTTTATTTTGGTTTTGGTTTTTCGAGACAGTCTTTCTCTGTGTAACCCTGGCTGTACTGGAATTTACACTATAGACCAGGCTGGCCTCAAACTCAGAGATCTACCTGGCACTGCGTCCTGGGTGCTAGGATTAAAGGTATGTGCCACCACTGCCAGTTATCGGAAGGTTTTATGAATTCAGATTGATCGCACTCATGCTCTCCTGGTTCTTTGTTTTCTTTGGTGGGAGAGAGATGTGGAGACTTGGAGTGCAGGGTTAGGAAGACGCTGCTGCTGTCACGGCAGTGGGACTGAGCTCCACATCCCTGAGAGATCACCATTGCCAAAGATCCAGAGTCCATGAAAATGCAGCTGCATCTGGGTTGTAAGATAATGGTTGACTTGGGTTTTGTTGTTGTTGTTTATATTTTCTAACGTTCCACCTCCCTCTGTAGAATGTACAGCTTGTTTCTGAGAGACAAGTACTAAAAGGGGAATGTTAGGTTTGAAGTGTTTTCTGCTTAGCCCTGGTAGTAAAATCCAGGCAACTCAGCAATAATGGAAGGTAATTCTATTTTAAATTCAGTTATCATTAGGTGTTTCACTGTGTCTCAGTATTCATTCATTATTAAGTGTTCTAGTGTGTTTGCTTTATTCTTAGCATTGTTAAACAAAACCTATTACGGGACCAAATACTTTTTTCTTTTTGTGTAGTTACGTTTTTACCAAAACCTAAGGCGACTGATTGCAATGGATGCCTTTTCTGTGCTCTATACCTGGTGGGCTCCAGCTCTGCGGGCCCCACAGCCCTGCCCTTCAGTGATGTTGTGTTTACATTGTTGGTGTGCGGTTTCAGAGCTGCACGGCTCACACAGGCCTGCAAGCTCACTGGCCATTTTGCTCTGTGTTGTAAAAGCTGAATTTGGGGAGGAGAAAGGGGTGCTCCCTAGATTTTTTTTTTTTTTTTTTTTTTTTTTTTTTTTTTTTTGGTTTTTCGAGACAGGGTTTCTCTGTGGCTTTGGAGCCTGTCCTGGAACTAGCTCTGTAGACCAGGCTGGTCTCGAACTCACAGTGATCCGCCTGCCTCTGCCTCCCGAGTGCTGGGATTAAAGGCGTGCGCCACCATCGCCCAGCCTCCCTAGATTTTTATACCCAAGAAATCTAAAGAATTGAAGATACTAAAATGCACTTTGTTTCAGCTTTCATCGCGAGAAAAAGCAGCGAATGATTATAACCAGAAGTTAAAGGAAAAGTTTCAATATCATCCGCATGTGAAACGCATTGCTCGCCATCGACATCTGCCGAAATCCATCTACAGCCAGATCCAGGAGCAACGCATCATGAGGGAATCCCGTCGCCGAAAGTATGTGTTTGGACATTTGCCTCTAACCTCAGCACTTTTAACTGCCCTCCCCCTGGGCTACCTCATCCCCATAGTCAAACGCACACTTTCTTATAAAGGAGTGGTCTATATACTAATGTACAATAGACATTTTTTGAACAACTCTCTGGGGAAATATCATCTAAGAATATGTTTAAAGTACCAGTGAAGAAAGTGAATTACCATAATAAGAACACACTTCTCAGTTGGAGTAGTCCAGCTACAGAGTGAGTAGCATGGATGGAAGAGAGGGAGGAGCTATTTTATGATAAACTGGTGTGCTGTGCTTGTTTTGGCAGCGGGTGTTGTAACATTGGAACAGTACAGAGAGCGTTAGTTAGCATAGCTCCTGTGTAAGGATGGAGCACAGATTCATGATCTGTCCATTTATGAAATCTCTCTCTTGTGTGTGTGTGTGAGTGTACGCGTGCCTGCATATGTGTGAGCAAACGTGCACATGTATGTGAATCCCTGTGCCCAGAAGCCCACAGCAAGTGTCCCCCTGTATCATCTTACTGTTGTGAAACAGTCTCACTGGTCCTGGAAATCACCTATTTGCTGGACCAGTTGGCCAGTGAGCCCCAGGGATCCTCCTCTCTCTGCCTCTCCAGTACTAATATTACAGACACAAAATGCTTTTAAAAATCAGTTCTAATGTAGCTGTAATTATGAAATGCTATCCTATCTATTTGCTAAATAAATTCCAATACCTATAATCCTAGTACTGGGGACCATGAGATAAAAGCCAGCCTGGACCGCAAAGAATTTTAAAAACTCATATTTAGCAATCATTTCTTTAAAACATTTGAATGTGTTTTATCATAATATCCGAGATCTCATGTCTGTTTCTTGAGGTGAGGGACTTACGGTGATTCCTAAGCTGGTCTTCAGCTCCTGGGCTCAAGTGGTCCTCCTTTCTCAACCTGAGCAGCAGGGAAAGCTAGCATTTGAATCCAAAGCAGAAATCCCCCCACCCCACACCACTCTCTCCTATGGATACACTCATGGAGCCCATGGAGAAATGCAGTGTGGAAGTTCTTAGAGCTGCTGGGGTTGGTTTACTAAACTGCATAAGTTACTGTTGCTTTACTAAACTGCATAGGTTATGTTGCTTTGCTCCTGGGTACATGTTGGGGTTTAATAATGTTAATGTATCTTAGTAACTAACTGTGTTACCGTTTAAACTTAGTAGAGGAAGCTGAGAGTTTTGTTTCTGTTTGTTGTCATCTCGCTTGTTTGTTTGTTTGTTTGTTTGTTTTGGCGGCAGTCTCAGTGTGGTGGCCTGGCAGTTCTGGACCTCACTCTCTAGACCAGACTGGCCTTAAACTCAGAGATCAGCCTGTCTCTGCCTCCTGAGTGCTGGGATTAAAGGCATCGCCAGCACACCTGGCTTTAAAGCCTACAGCACCATGTATTCCCAGGTGATCTCCCTTCCAAGTACTATCCGGTCCTGACCCTGCTTAGCTTCCAAGATCAGAAAAGATCAGGTACATTCAGGGAGGTATAGCCTTAGACACTGATGATTCATCAAATACAAAGCAATTAAATAAGAAAAGTTGAATTTAACTTTTCACCTTATTCTCATTGGGAAATTCTTTTTTTTCTAGTGGTCTTACTAGCGAAAGAAAATGCTTTATGATTTAAATTTGTTTCCGTTGGCTGAGATGATTTTTTTTATGTACTTGCTCATATTTTATATGTTTTGTTTATTTCTAGGGAAATGAATCGTCGTAAACATAGCAAGCCTGGATCTGTGCCAGTTGTGTCAGAGAGGAAGAAACACGTAGTGGCAGTCGTGAAATAATGTTTTGTCTTCCTACCGAGCTTGATATATAATTATTTGCTACTTCTGATTTGGGAACTCTGTAAATAAACGTCCTGGCTCTGGATTAATAGTAAACACTGCAGTTGTGTGTTTTCCTCTCCTTTCCCTCCTTGACTCAGCTCCTCTTGCATTTCCTGCTCACCCTTGGCTGACCTAAAGGCTGGCTGCACAGGAGCCAAGGCTGTGCGTGCCTTCATTTGCCGTGTATGTTTGCCTGGTGTCCTTTCAGCATTTGGTGCTCCCACCATGAAGAGAAGTGCCACCTGCTGAGTCACAGGCTCTACCTCCTGCTGCAACCTGGTTTCCATAGTGTTCAGTGTCCCACACTTTGCAGGGCCTGACCAGTCAGAGATGTGAGCAGTTTCCTGTAATTCGAGCCTAGACTAAGCCAGACACAGCAGGATTCCGACCATTTTGAAATGTCACTTTTGGGGTTCACAGTCTCTTGTAAGAAGATGCATAGATCACTTTTCACAAGTGAGGTTGCCAGGGTAGAACCTGAAGGAAGAGAGGATGGTGGACACGGGGAGCCACCTAAGAGACAGGGACATAAGTAAGGCAGAGACGTCCCATGCTATGTGGCCGCTGTGACCTTCTCTCTGATGGAAACAGAAAGCAGGTTGCTCTTCAGCTTCTCGTTGTCCTGTGTCATGGTCAAGAAAGGCTAAGGTCTAAGATGTCTAGAGAGCAGCCTGGTCAGCTTGGGTCTTTGAGTAGTGAATTCAGAATTGATCGCAGCCCTGTGAACCCTGTCGATTGATTCGCACGAGACCGTAAAGCCACACAGAAAGTACTAAGGTGTTTGGCAGCAGGGTCTTTGAGCATGATGAGTCAGTGTCTGTCTGTATGTGGGTATTGTGAGTGGATGGGTTACTTAATGAATGAGTAACCTGTGCTGAGCCTTAACTGACAGGTGCTCATATGTGCGCGTGCTCTTATATCCCCAGCCCCGTGTGTGTGTGTGTGTGTGTGTGTGTGTGTGTGTGTGTGTGTGTACACGCACATGCATGCTCCCACACATGAGCCTTTTAAGTCAAGGGCAGTACCAGCTTTGTGCTTGACTTTCTCTATGAGCACCTAAGCCGGTGTCAGGAGATGAACTCATTCTTTTCCTCCAAATCCTCAGTGTCATCCCTTGTGTTCTCTGGATAGCATACTTATACCTGTAGAGATTCTCAAGGAAAAGCCCTCTGTAAGACCATAGGCTTCATTAACAACGGTAACAATAGCAGCTGCTGACCCGCTGTTTACCAAACAGTGTGTCTTGCATGCACTTAATTGAAATTAATTTTCCTTGCATTCTCATAAAAGAACCCCCAAAGGGAGGCCTTATTACAACTCATAGTCTGTCCTCAATCTCCACAGACTGAAGGGGTCAGTCTCAGGAAATAAGTAATTGCGGAGCGTTGTGACGTCTGAGATGGATAATACAGCGGCACAGTAGAGAAGCCGGCCTGCCGGGGAAGGACTAGCCCTCCAGAGAACAGTGCTTAAATGCCCACTGGCCTGGCCTGTTGCAGGGATGAGGAGAAGTGGGAGAAAGATGTCTTCAAAGTAAAGACTTCTCTGTGTGTTGCTCTTCATGAAGAAGAAAAACTTTCTTAATTTCAGCAATGCTTTACTATTAGACACTTTATGTTCCAGGCCGATGTATAAAGTTTGGTTAAATACTTTCTCCAGAGAGAGAAGGGAGTAGGGGATATATAAGTGATTTGTTAGGTAGTAGGGATTAATGGATCACAACGCTCAGCTTAGACATCCAGAGGGCAGAAAGCATAGGTGACGGTGGTAAGAAGTGGGGCCAGAGCCGAGTCTCCAGTGTGTATACAGTACACACATGTTCATGCTTCGCCAAGGAGCAGAGGCGCCTAGCCACAGAAACGGAGGGGGACATGCCTTTGGAGCCCATAGCGCACCCCACTAAAGGAGAAAACTAGGTTCAGAGCCAGCTCTCAGAGGAAGCCTGAGTAGGCTGGAGACGTGGCTGAGTGGAATTCTCGCCTGCAGATGTGAGGTGGTTTGATCCCCACCACCTAAACTAAGTGTGGCGGTGCAAGTCCAGCAGTAGAGATGTGGGTCCAGGAGGACAGGGAGAAACTTGGCGGGAGATGGCTGTGGTGGCACATGCTTCAAATAAGCTCACTGGCTAGAAGGACGCTGAGGGAAGAGAATCAGGTGGTCAAGGACATAGCGAGCAGCTCACATACACACAGACTGAAATAAAACATTTCTATCACAACATAAAGATAATTTTTAGTTAATACATGGATTATTGTGGACCATTTTGTTACAATGAGTATTTGCCACAAGGCAGTTACATGTGGGGAGGAGTAGCAGAAGCCTGGGGTCGGGATTTCAGCCCAAGGGAGCAGATGTCACCCACTGAGCCGAGTCCTGCATACCCTGTCATCCCTGACCTCCCATCTTTTCTAAGTTCAGTTCTGTGTGTCTCAAAGCCATTGTCTTAGCCTGCCTTGGTGTCACTGACTAGCCCTAGTGATCTGTTGGCTTTCTAGCTGCCTTCAGTTCCTAAGGAAAGGAACTTCTCAAAGCCAAGTAACTTTAGTTGCCAGCTGAGACGTCTGCTTCTGGCCACTGGCTTAGCATGATCTAGAAGTGGGGGCCTTGAGAACAGGCTGCATATGGGTAGACAAGCCCAGGACATTTTAGCTAATCATTGCAATAAATAGCAAAATCTTTATATCATGAAGGAAAAATATGAAGGTACCTGGGCTAAGTTGGTGAAAGGTCATGGGAAAAGGAGACTGAATGTCAGCCTTAGTTCATTTTGATTGCCTATTTTTCTAGCTCATTACCCTAAATCTCTGGATGTGCACCCATAAATACTCTCCTAGGTGCATTCTGGTTGCTGTTCTTCCTACTAGATGGGTATAGGCAAAGACTCTTCATTCATTTCTCAGCCACCCAGACCTGAATAATAACACAGAAACTATATTAATTACTGCACTGTCTGTCCAATAGCTTAGGCATATTTTTCTAGCTAACTCTTACATCTTAAATTAACCCATTTCTATTATACTGTGTATCGCCATAAGGCTGTGCTTGCCGGTAAGGTTCTGGCTGGCTGCTGGAGGTTGGTGGCTGGCAGCTTTTTTCCTTCAGCAACTACATGGTGTCTCCCTGACTCTGCCTATTTTCTTTCTACATCTCTGTTCAGATTTCCCACCTGGCTTTACTCTACTAAGCAATTGGATGAAACAGTTTCTTTAATAACCAATGGTAGTAAAACATATTCATACCATACAGAGGGCAATCCCAAATTATGAGGAAAACATAAGGGTTTGGGACTTAGCTAAGTTCCCAGATGCTCAGTGTCTTCTGCTCCATGAGCAGACACCTCTCTGCCCATCCTCTCGCCATTTGGATCCACTTGAGCCTTCTCCTTCCCAAATCAGCTTCAGCTTGGCAGTTAGCCATGCACTGCCCCTTGAAGAATGGGCTCTGCCCTTGCCTCTGCTGGCTGCTAAACCCAACAACCACACCGACACCTCCCGGGCCATCTCCCTTTCCACTGATGTGCCCTGGAATTCTGGCCACACTTGTGCAGCCTCTGGACCACTGACTGCACTGTAGTCATCCCAAAGCCCGTTTGACCAGACCACAGCCGACTCTCAGCATGCTATGCACCCAACAAAGACACTTTATAATGATCTGAAAGAAATTTTTATCTTTACCTTCACAGGGGTAAAATGGAAGTGCTACAGAAATGAAAATATTAGGTAATATGAAAAATCCTTTAAATAACTAGACATGTCAGGGAGTGTGCATTCAAACACTGAGTCTGGCATGATGGTAATGCATGTTCCTCTAAAATAATTGTTCTTAAAGTTTATAACCTTATTTTAAAATGCAGTTGGATTTAAAAGTGTTATCAAAGTATGTACCAAAGCCCAGATAGACAAGTTTCAAGCTCAGATATATCTAACTCAGAACAAATATCTTTGTTTAATCTCGATTCTAAAGAAATAGGCCAGAAGACTAATTTATAAAAAGTAATTAGTTTTATTTCCAAGTGACATGTAACACTTTGAATAGCGTTATGCAATCTGGTTTATAGTGAATGAATTCAATTTCGTTTGTAGTAAATTTTCTAGTCAGCCATCTGTGTCTGTCAAATTGCTATCACTCATAAAAATAAATGTCAAGTATTTCCTGCAGGAAATTATATCTTCGAATAATTTTACTTAAGTTTTGATTACATAGAGTAAACAGGACAGAAGAAACTAATTGTTTCAAATCTGTTTGTACTCCATAATAACTAACTCCATAAGCTGCCTTGAGTACCTTCCCTAAAACTGATGTGTCTTTTTTATTTTTTTGGTGGGGACAGGGCTTCTCTGTAGCTTTGGAGCCTGTCCGGAAAGTAGCTCTTGTAGACCAGGCTGTCCTCAAACTCACAGAGATCCGCCTGCCTCTGCCTCCCGAGTGCTGGGATTAAAGGCATGCGCCACCACCGCCTGGCTGGGACTGATGTCATATGCAAAATGGGTATGTCAACGTGGTTCCACACCTTCACATAGATGGAGGGTTCCGATTAAAAGAATGAAATTCTCTCAGTAAACAGAAATCTTGATGAAGATGCTTGCTTCAAGATATAAGAAACAAATCAAGGATGTCTAGGGTAATGTATGAGTTGGCCAATGTTGTCTTTTTTTTTTAAAATTAAAAATCATTTCCCTCTTTTCCTTTCCTCCCTCCTAACGTTTCCCATGGATCTCTCCCACCTTGCCCTCCTTCAAATTCGTGGTCTGTTTTTCTTTAATTGTTCTTATACACACACA